ATTTGGCAACGAAAAGCTATATTCAAAAGGAAGCAGGCTTGGACACTCAGAAATCAACGAAGATATCTCCACTAAAAGGGATAATATACAGTAAAAGCCAAATAAATGACCAGGGTGAGACAAATGGCATCATGAAACAAAGAACAAATAGAAGTAAAGAGAAAATAAGATTCTAGCATCAAATGTTTTGAATGTAGGTGAAATATCAGATCTGGTCCAACTATATGGAACATAGTCAAGTGCAATAATTATTTTGCATAGCCCAGATTCTTCCCTGAGTAAGGCTAATATTAGAATTGACATAAACATCTGCACCATCTCTAGCAAAGACAGGATCATCTGTAACCTAGATTATAAAAGCAAAGTTCAGAAGCAAGGATGATATATAACTCGACCATCAAATAGTAATTAGTTATTTACCTCTCTGCTACCCAATTTAGCAACCTCAAATCAAGTTTCAAAACTGATCATATTCTAGTTTCATGAAAAGGTATTATGTATCCCAGCTCAAAGAAAAAGTAGAGCAACAAAACTGATAAGCAAAAATTTTCAAAACCAGAAATGAATCTACAGTTGCACATAACCTACTTTCAGTAATGCGCTTCTTAAAGATACAAGGCAATAGAAGGAATTGCATCTTTATCCTAATAAACAAGTTACCAGGTTGATTTCCCTGTCACTTAATATTACCAGCTTCTGGTATACGTATTGTATCTCCAGAATCCACACCTAATCATTTTATAGAAAATACAAAGGAGTCAATAAAATTAATGCTGCAATCTTAAGCTACATATTCTTTGTGACAGTCAAGTAGCCACCTATGCAGACAAAGGTTACATCTTAGAACTAGTTTGATATTTCATGCATCCATGCAAAATGCAGAAACTAAAAGTAATACTTTCATAAATATGGGTAAATTACCTAAAATTGTATTACTAACGAAGCATTGCAATAAAAAAATTAGGAAAAGGAAACGGGAAAATAAAAAAATTGAAAAAGAGAGAGAAATAACACTCTAAGATCTGAAAAACCAACCATAGGATGGGAGAGAAAAAAAAGAGCTACAAATTTGATCTCAAGGCTATATGATAAACCATATGAGGAATTCCTGTGAAACCCTTTCTTTATATGAACTGCTAAGAATCAAAGCTACGTCTCAAATCTTCTAAACATGAAAAATCTTTCGTCAAAGAAAAGCATCTAATATATACCTGCAGGTATTGTAACTTTAACTTCCTTAACACCTTCAACAACCCCGGATCCTTGGCATGATATACAGTATTCTTGAATCATATATGTAAAACCATGTTAATTGTTAATATGATATACAAGTAAAAGAAAATTATGGTTTTATTGAAAATGAAACCAGACCTTGATTATTCGTCCCAATCCGTTACAAGTGTTGCATGTTGATGTAAAAGGAGGAATTGTAACCTTGTTAAGAGTTAAAGAGTCAATAAAGTATAATAAATAAAAGGTAACATGTATTCTCTTCAAAAAGTGAACCCGTTTAGGAGGATTTATAAACTCACAGTCCCTTTGCCTCTGCAAATTGGACAAACTTTAACTTTGGCATTTGGTGGATAGCCACACTCATCTGCATTAAGAAATAAACAAGGCATGAGAAAACTACATATATAAAAACCGGAGGAAGAAATCCTTCACAAAAATGGAAAGATTAGAGAAATACATTTAACATAATGCTATAAAATATTAGCAGCAATAATACATAACAATTTTGGACAAACATAAATTAAGAAGTAGAAGGGTATTAACGCATGTAATTTACTATATTTGTGCTTGTAAGATTCTTAAATGTTTCATAATTCAAGAAATCTTTTTACTCTACTTACCATAAGAATCACAAGGAACAAATGCATCAAAACATAGATCCTTTGTGCATCCTTTAGCAGCTTCAGAAAAAGAGAGCAAGAGCCCTGTCTAAAAAATTCTAGACAGAACATATTATAACTTGAAGAAGTAAAGCATGAAACTAATAGAAAATTCAGGAGAGAAAATGTGTTGACCTGAATATCTGTTGAAGTCTGATCATTTCTCATCATTTCTGCCATTGAAACGAATGGTGCCAAAAGATTACAAATCACAGAAGCTAAGGTACAAAGGGAAGCAACGAAGAGACAAAACTTCATATAAAAGTTACAAATCACATAAGCTAAAACATGTTGGGGAGAAGAGCATAAAAGCACCTGTCTAGATCTTCCTCCATCTAGTTTCTGTCGTTTGAATGCTTAATTTTCTAGAGCAACAAAGGGAAGCGAGAAATGATGAAAATAATGGGGGGGAAATTAAAATACGACTTTTACAGATGACACACAATTAAAAGTGTACTCCGTGTTTTTACAAATTTTTTGGATTTTGACTATTAAATATGACACACATTATTGTAAGTCATAAATCGTTCATATTTTAAGAAACATGACATTTTTTTATGACACGCCTATTTTGCAAGTCATAAATTAGAGTGTGTCATCGTTCGTGTGTCATTAAAGGTATATTTTCTTGTAGTGTATGGAACTAATGGCTAATCTCTCTTTTGATTGTGATCTTAGCAGCTTAAGCTATATATATATTTAAAATCAATTGGCTAAGCTTTTCAAAACCTTGTTTAAAACATTTTAATGTCTTTTTGATTTAACAAAAAGGGGGGAGAAATGTAAAAGTGTTAAAGGGGAGAAGTGTTGTAGTAAGGGGGAGTAATTTTTCAAAATTGATTTCAAAATTTTAGAAAATCTTAAAATAACACAAATGTTTTGTTATATCAAAAAGGGGGAGATTTTCGAAAAGATTTTTGTGTTTCTATATAACAAATTAAGTTTAAATGAATTTTAAGATTTTACAAATGATTTTCTAAGTATATTCGATTTAATTAATCGAATATCAAATTATTACTCCAAGTCTTTCAAGTTCAAATTATTACTCCAAGTCTTTCAAGTTAAAATTCAAACCTTACTAAATGTGTAAAATTGTGTTTTATACTTAAAATATTTTTGAAACAATTTTCATAAAGTATTTTGAACCAAAATCAAGCCTAAAATCAATTTATCAAAGTGATGCACCGATGCACCAATCCATGCATCGAATAAAACCATGAATTAAATTGAACATCGAATGCATTTCATGCATCGATGCACCAGCCATGCATCGATGCACTCTGACTATTTTGAAACATCGAATGCACTTAATGCATCGATGCACTCTTAGTGCATCGATGCACTAAGGGTCCAACGGTCAAAATATTTTAATTTTACACTGATGCACCACGGTTATGCATCGATGCACTGATACTCCCAACTGCTTTAATTAATTGTTTTCACACTTAAACGGCTCTATTGACTCCACTAAGCATCCCCAACATTCAGAATTATTTGAAGGTGTATTTAAACAAGCTTAGAAGCCATTAATCAATAACAAGAAATAAAAATCAACAAGAATCAAGAGAGAATCAAAGAGAAAGCATCAAACCTCAAGTTTAAGCATTTCAAGCCTATTTTTCATTCAATATTCATTTTTCTTTCAAGAACACTACTTGTACTCAATTGTATTCATTTTTTAGTATTCTTTTCTTTGTTCTAGAATTGTGCAAACAATCTACCTTGTGAGGATTTCCTTGTAAGTTTGCAAATTTGTAATCTTCTCTTTGAGAAAGAGTGTTCTCAAGAATTGGGGTATATTCTTGAAGGAGCTGTAAGGTTATCTCTTTGGCCTCAAAAGAAAGAACAAATTAGTGAATTTGTTGGAAAATCCTTAGTGTGGATAGTTAAGGTAGTGGACGTAGACTTTGATTGAGAAAGTCGAACCACTCTAAATCGCTGTGCAATTACTTTTAATTTTCTGTAAAAGCTTCCACCAAAATTTTAATTGCCAATTCACCCCCTTCTTAGCCGATTTCGTCGATCGATTAACTCAACAGATACCCTCATCTTAAGTAGGGTCTCATCTCTAGTATCTTATTTTGTGGATTCAAGGTACTTTAAACTCCATAAATAAGATTTTAAGTGAGAATAACACTAATGTTTTAATAACACTTAGAAACGTTATAAATTAGGCAGTCATAAAACTTGTCTTGTTTGATGCTCGGGAAACAACAAGGACAACTGGTTACTCTAGTAGTAGGAAGGTTGTTTTTATGTTAGGAAAAGTTTCAGTTAGTGCACAAGGCACTTCAATGTTGATGGGTATAGATGCCCCAAGTACTCGTATGGAGTAGGTTGGTCGGGTGGATGTTTTTTGACGTAGAAATTCTGGATCCCACCCTAGGTAGGCTAGATGTGTGTGTGTCTCTAATATATAGTGAAACTCTCCGAACACACTATGATACCTACCTCTATATGTATGTTTATATTTCATTCTTGTATGCTAATATTTATGTTGCAAGCATGATCATATAATGGACACATGTAGTATGGTTTGGTTATTAGTGTGGTATTTAGCTTGTGAGCTTAGCGTTCATAACTTGTTTCTCTGCGTAGATTTGTAGGATGAGCATTTGAGGAGCTTATCCTGTAGTCTGCATTCCATACCAACATGAGTGTTTGAGTACGTCTTGGATATTCATAGAGGGCATGTATTGTATATGAACCTAATTGTATTCGAGTCATAATTGTATTTTGAAATATTTTTTTAAAATAATATGGATGTATTTTGGGGGTTCTTGTAATTGTAAACTTAAATACTATTATTCTTATTTTATATAATCATGATGAATGCTTTTAAATTGATCTTTATAATTGTTTTTAAAAAGAACTTTTTCGGTTTAGCCACCTTAGTGGTTCCATGTAGCGTACTAATCTATCGATCTTCGGATCATAGTAGATTAGGACGTTGCATAACTTATGTAACTTAAGATCAAATATGAGCAATAAGTATCATGATTATCCTGGAAGAGTCTTTTTTATGAAACCCAAGAGAAAGTCTCTACAAAATTAATGTTTTATTTATGAGTATATCCTTTAAATACAAGACATGTCTTATACCTATCAATGTCACCATTTGCATCCATCTTGGTTTTAAATATGCATTTGAAACCAATAAGTTTTGCACATTCAGGTAATGAGATAAGTTCTCAAACTTTATTATCTTGTATAGAACTTATTCTTTTCTTATGAGGCATTAATCCACTTTTGAGAGCCAGAAATTTTATCGCATGAAAAAAGTTGATTACATCATCTTCCATCATTCCAATGTCATCCTTATTTCTTCTAGAAACACAATAATCTAAAATAATATTTCTATTATCTTGTGGATCTTCTGAATGACACTAATTCTTTGAGGTTGTTCTTCCAGAATAATTTCTCATCTTAAATAGAAAATTGTTCAAAATAATCTTGTTGAGATTTTATATTCACTTCTTGATTAACAACGTGTATGATCATATGGATATCATCAAAAGTGACAATATGAATTGAGATATAATTCAATTTCTCCTAAAAATCAATTCTTCAAACCTTATTTCTCTCTCCAAACTCAACAGCCTAAAAAATAATGTTATAGATCTCACCTTAAAAATATTCCTAATTGTGTATCATAAAACTTATAACCCCTAATTGCTCAGAATAACTAAAGTTGTTGCTGACTATTGTAAAATTCAATTTCTCCTTATATATTCTAACTTATCTCAAAAGAGAATAACCATTTGTAACATATCGTTGTCTCTTTTGACCTAAACCCTTAACAACTACATTCTAATTTTATTTTTGTCATTATCTTTATATGCATTTTTCAAATAAGTACTAAAAAAAGTATTATGCTTCAACCTTTCTTCCTCTTGAACACAATGAAAAATGAGCTCATTTAGAGTTCATTTCTCCATTTAAGTTCACTACAAGAAAATATACCTTTAATGACACACGAACGATGACACACGCTAATTTATGACTTGCAAAAAATGTGTATCATAAAAAAATGTCATGTTTTTTAAAATCTGAACGATTTATGACTTACAATAATGTGTGTCATATTTAATAGTCATAATCCAAAAAATTTGTAAAAACATGAAGTACACTTTTAATTGTGTGTCATTTGTAAAAGTCGTCTTTTAATTTCCCCCCCCCCATTATTTTCATCTTTTCTCGCTTATTCCCCCCTCGATAATAAGTTCAAGCCGCGTGCTTCCCCCCTTTTTCTCTTGTTTCTTATTTCTGAATAGGACTTTTGGTGTTTCTAAACAATGGTGCTATTCAGGGCATACTTGAAACAGATTTTTTCACTGGATATGGAGAGAGAAGTCAATATCAAATTCATGAGATTATTGGGAAAGGAAGTTATGGGGTTGTTGCATTTACGATTGACAACCACACGGGTGAAAAGGTCAATGCTTTTCAGAATATTTTCCTAACCTCACCTCTTAGTTGTATTTGCTGAGTTTTTTTCCTTTCTATTGTTGCAGCAAATGTATTCCATCGAGATTTAAAACCAAAGAACATCCTTGCTAATGTTGACTGTAAGTTGAAGATATGTGATTTTGGGCTTGCCCGAGTGTCATTTAATGATGCCCCATCAGTGATTTTTTGGACTGTATGTTGTTCTTTCATTAAATATTGAAGCTTTCGCTTTCATGCTTCCTTAGTATTTCTCAAATGGCTTAATTTTCTTTTAAACGCTTCCCTCATTACATTGGGCAAGCCTCCAAAAAGGTTGTGCTAACTAATCTAACTTATTTAATCCATCTAGGACTATGTTGCAACCCGTTGGTATCGTGCTCCTGAACTCTGTGGATCCTTTTTCTCCAAAGTAAGTTCTTTTTAGTCTTCTATATATTAGGCTTTTCATCTTGATATTCTTATTTCCAATTGCTGAGATCACTAAAAAAGTAGGAGAAATATTTTTTGTTTCGGTAACCTAGTCATTATATGTGTATACATATATTGCTTTAATTTCTCAAAATATTTTGACTCCCCTAGTGTTCCCCTTATACTTTCTATGGAACAGTTAGTTGTTGGTATTTATCCAGAGTAGTACTTGTTTGGACTGCTGCTCATTTACTTAGGTGTAAAACCACAATAGGTATTTTTGTTTAGTTTTTGATGGATGTGAATTTGATGTTGTCAGTTGCACGTTTAAGTAAGTTCTTGGAATGGTTTAAAATGAACTTTTCATCTTTGAAGTAGTCCATACTAGATTCCTTTGCACATGTCAGTTAATAGTTCTCCTTATGTAGAATTTAAGTTTTTTATTATGTAACTTGGCTATCGGCCATTTCTGTAATCACCATATAATATTTCTTTTCTACATCATTTTCTAGAGGAAATTCTTGAAGCTTATCTTGCAGCTTTAAGAATGTGTATTGTTGTTACTGCGATTTGGAATAAGGAAGTTAATACCTGGAAATTGTTAAAGGTCATTAATCATTTTGATCAATATGTTTACTCTCTGTGTGCTCAAATCAAATCTCTTCTAATTAAGCTCATGGAATTGATCGTATTAGCAAAGTCTAAGTGCTAAAGAAAAAATTTTATGCGCTTTTCATTAGTTTCATCTGTATTCAGATATGGTTTTATATCATGCTTTGTTATCATGAATATTTAGCCACTTTTAATGTTATTGGTGCACCTATCATTATTTCTATGTGCCTTATTGTTAATCACTTGTTTTTATATATCTTTTGAACATGAGAAGTGCAGCATCTGAACTTTCATTTGCGTTTTGATGTATAATAATTATATGAAGTATGTTTTATTAGACTATAATTGTAATTTCTGAGTCTTTAATCCTTTTGTAGTACACTCCTGCAATTGATATGTGGAGTATAGGATGCGTATTTGTTGAGATAGTTACAGGAAAACCACTTTTTCCTGGAAAAAATGTGGTGCACCAATTGGATCTTCTGGCTGATATGCTTGGCACTCCCCCTCTGAATCTATATCAAGGGTTAGTTATCTTGTTTCTTATATTTCACTTGATTTATTTGCACTTCAACCTGACACTGATTTCAAGCTTTGTTACTGAGATTCTAATTGAGAGATTAGATATTGATCACTCACTACTTAATTTATCATTACCTGGCAGATTAGAAATGAAAAGGCAATGAGGTACCTTAGTAGCATGCGTAAAAAGCCACTGGTTCCTTTCTCACAGAAGTTCCCTAATGTGGATCCCGGGGCTCTTCGCCTACTTGAGCGCTTACTTGCATTTGATCCAAAAGATCATCCCACAGCTGATGAAGTAAGATTGAGAATTCTTAGTATTTAATTTTTTTCTTTCAAAAGCACTAAAAAGGAAACAAGGTATGCATACAATAGATAACCCTAAAATTTACAAAAAATGAGGTTTCTTGCTAACATATTTTTATATTCAGAAAACATAAAGGATATGCTTCCTATAGAATTGAAATCCATGAATGGGTGATATTGAATGCTACAAATTTTGATTTGATGTTTTGTCAGCATCATTTCATCAAAGATATGATAATTATTCTCATCATTGGCATTAAATCAACTACAAATTATAAATCTGACAGTTAGATCATGACTTACAAGCTTCTGATATTCCTAATGGTGTTGTTCTACGCTGGCAGGCATTAGCTGATCCATACTTTTACGGTTTAGCAAATATGGATCGTGAACCATCCACTCAACCTATTTCGAAATTAGAATTTGAGTTTGAGAGAAGGAAATTGGCAAAATATGATGTTAGAGAGCTAATTTATAAAGAGGTACTCCACATTTGTTGCTTAATGTCCTTTAAAAAATCCTCTTGTTTCTTAATATGATGTCCAAGATTGTCCTTATATAGTTTAGATACAACTTAGTAAAGTAATACTTTTTGAGTGGTTTTGTAGATCGAATCCTCATTTCAAGTTATGTAGTGCTTAAGCGAAATATAGGGGGGTGGGGGTCTGCAAATTCTAAATTCCAGTTGATAACATTTGCTTCTAGCATTGCAAATAACGGTATTCTTTTTCTTTTTTCAATCAAATAGTGACGTTGAACGATTCAAACGACAATTTGCACATTTGGAGGAGCATTATGGTAAAGGTGAAAGAAGTACTCCACTTCTAAGACATCATGCTTCTTTGCCTAGGTATGCTTTGTAAAATTTTAGGAATCATGTTAGTTCCATAATTTCTCCCCCAAACTTAGTTTGTCTAGTTCATGTGTCATATTTCAATTTGCTTGAATATCGTCTTTACAGAAAGCGAGTTCCTGCTCCCAAGGATGAGAATGATCAAGTTGATGGTGAGAATAACGCTGCTTCAATGACACAATATGGTTCAGAAAGTGCTACTACTTAAATGACACAATATGGTTCTGAAATACAAGTTACAGAAGCACTGGAAGCTTGGATATGGTATCTGGCTACTGTTTGATCATTACCGCACTCCATTAGATCAGATATGCAGAAGGTATGAATTGAAACTTGGAAGAATTGTATTGCACTTAGTAGTTTTCTAACTTATCAAAGTTCTGCAGAATCTTAACTAGTTAACAGACTTAATAGTATGCAATGAATCTTCCAAGTTATGTTCTTTTTGCTAGGTAGACAAGGTGTGAATTTGTCTGTTGTCCGCTTCATACCACATAAGATTTACAAGTATGGAGCAAATGGTGAAACTGATGATATGTTGGAATACCATGCTACTTTTGATTTTTCACAAAACACCCCTTTAGTAGAACTTGATGATGTTTTTTTGTGTACACGCCCGGATGGTGAAGGCATATTAGTAGAACTTTATTATGCCGTGATATTTTGTATCGGCATATGATTACAATATTTTTGATAACTTAATGTGAATATATTGTATGCAAATGGATTGCTTATATATAATATTATATATATATATATATTTAGTATTATGAGGCATTAAATGTGATTTAGTTTGATTATTTGTCAATCTACAATATATATATATATATATATATATAATTTATGAAATACAATCACGACACACGAATATGTGTCATCTTTTTTAATGACGTGTGCTTCAATGACACGCAATGTAAGTTATACATGCGTGTCATAAATTTATGACACACAAATGTGTGTCATATTCATTTATGACGGGGGCTTCAATGACGCTCAATGCGCGTCATAAATGTGTGTCATAAATGCGCGTCATAGATTTATGACACACAATTGCGCGTCATCTGATATTTATGTCGGTGGCTTCAATGATGCGAATTTTTGTGTCATCTGCACCTATAGATGACGCGCAATGCGCATCATTAAAGGGTTTTTTCTAGTAGTGGTTGATTAAACTCAATAGAAAGCGATACTGAAATTATAAGAACAAGTAATTCTTCAGAGAAAAAAAAAACTCGATCTTAAGTGGCTTAAGTCTTGAAGCAATATGAAACATATTCATAATGTACTCCCTCACATTTCCTTAACCCATATACTTTATAAACATCAAAGAAATCAAAAGTGATGTCATTTAAACTTTATAGTTTTTGAAAAAAAATATTTCTCATATTCGTTATAGAAATCATTGACCTAAGTAATCTTTTCAGCTCATGTGTCCCTAAAGGCTTCTAAAATGTTGTGCTTCATGACCATTAAACTTATGCAATTTGAACATATTTCACCTATCAAAATCTCTTATACCAATTAAGGATATTATCCCCATGAGAGGTGGAAATTGTTCTTTCCTTAGTGCAAAGTCCATGTTCATACAATCAAAACCTTATGTAAGCGCAATATGAGATTTGTTTTCTTAAGCATAAGTAGAAAATGTATAATAGCATATATTCTTATAACAATAAATAAATAATTAGCTGAATATCGAACAAAATATAAATAAAACTGAAGCTCGCATCTTAAGTAAGCAAATAAATTCAAAATAATGACTAATTCTCACACAAGATACCAAACACTACATCAATATTAAGTCTTTGGACAATAATATTAACAGTAAATGGTACTCTTGTTGTAGTAATCAAACATTGACTATAAGTTATGTCGAATAATAGACTAATATTTGGACTACTGTAATGTTCACATAAAGTACCTCATAATTGTCACATATTATTACCACAAGTATCGCTTGAAATTCGGCCAAATATTAACTTTTCTTTGGGCCAATCGATAAACGTATGAATCACAAGAAATACATAATCATACAGTCTACACAAAATGTCACTTTGACGACATTTTGTTTCAACTAATCCATCAAAATATTAGACTTATTCAAAATATGAATTAATTTGTTTCATATATATATATATATATATATATTCTAATAACCAACAATCAAAACTAAAAAGTCAAATTGAATATATACATATATTGCATTAACAATATAAATAAAATCATATAAATATTGTCAACCAATCAATTTCTCTTAATTTTATCTTTCAAGTAAACCGAAAGATAATCAAAATAATAATAAATTTGAATACGTTTAAACCTTATCTTAAGATATCAAATACTACATTAATATTTCATCTTTAGACAAAAATATTTATCTCAAGTGATATCTAATTCGATAATCAAACATTGATAATAAGAACATATTAAGCAAAAATATTCATTTGGGCCGATTTATCAATCACACATCAAACCAAATAATTATCACATGCTTATTATCAAAGTTGTACATATGATTATGTCAATTATTAATCTTCCTTTAGGCCAAACAATACTAACATATCTTAAGTTACATTATATAACCTTTATAAAATATTTTTCATAGCCGGTGACACTTTAATAACTTATTACCTTAATCAAGTCATCTCAAAATAAGTATTAATATTAAGATTTAATATTTCTATAACAATCAAAGGTCAAAATTGAAATTTATGATTGCATTACAATATCTGAATTAACCATAATAAGGTTACCTAAATGGTGTTATTAAAAATCGAAAACTCAAGTCTTTGATTGTTTATGATGAATCCTTAAACATGCAATCAATTTAGAACTTCTTAAATTACCAAAGACATGCCGAATTCAAAACAATCAACATTTAACCAAAATTCAAGATCAAAGTAAATACTAGTGAATTAAATCTTTAATCAAATTGAATCGAATATATCAGTACAAAATATATATTCTAAAATTCATAACATTTAAAAATCAATATTGAATTTTCTAATCACATCGTGATTTTCAAAGTAACTCATAATAAGGTTGTTTAAACAACGTTATTAGAAACTTAAAAACTTAAATCTTTGATTTTTCCTGGATTCACAAAATTAAACCCATGCACCATACAATAAATCAAAACCAAATAATCACAAATTGAAACAATAGCATGCCCAGATAAAAGCTAAAGTTAAAATCAAAATACCTAATAAGTAATATATGCTTTTTCAAAACCAAACGAAAACGAAATGCATAATCCATGATCTATGGCATTAGATATATATTCAAAAACTTAACCCGAACTTATATGGTTAATACTATATATTATTAATCTAATTTTATAATGTACATAAAATTATGTATGCTTCGTAATTCGTGGTTCTTAATCCATCTATAATCCAAACGATTTAACAATAGAATCTTATGGCATGTTATGAAACATAACGATTTTTCTTTCATAAAAAAAAGAAGAAGAAGAAGAAAAACTCAATAAATAACTCTTCATAAAATCATTCCAACAGGTGAAAGAAAGTTTCAATCTCTTATATAAAAAAAGGTTTCGAAACCCTAACTCTAGTATTGAACTTCAAAGTTCCAATAATCACATAATATGATGAGACGATGATATCAAACAAACTAAAAAAATCAATTGATTTTTAATGATCCAATATGATTAATTGGTAAATGAATGAATTTCAAATGTACGAATGAATATAAAAAAATCAATTAATTTTTAATGATCCAATATGATTAATTGATAAATGAATCTAAAAAATCAATTAATTTTTAATGATCCAATATGATGAGATGATGATACCAAACAAAATAGGATTAAATAATGTCAAATCATCAAAAATAAAAAATATTAGATTTGCGGAAGCATACCTAGATTGATTAATAGGTTAAAATTTTTAAGTTTTTTTTTTTTTTGTGATCTTCCAAAAAGATACAGTTCGCTTAAGTATAAATTCTCTAACGAGATAAGAGTAAATACGAGATGATTTATTTATTGGAGACAATAACCCTAAATGATTTAAGAATTAATTATTATCTACACCTATAACTTTGTCTCTCATTGAATATAAATACAACTTTAATAATATCTATACATTTTTACGATATTTTTAATATCGTATTACTCTTTTGAAGATTGAATCCTTAGCAAGTAGGTTTATTTTGTTATTATTGTTGATTCTACAACTATTTTTATGGAATAAACATGGTTTTTTTTAACCCCAAAGGCTCTGAATTGATGCCTTTATAACAACTTGGTATTTGGTGAATTGTCTGATATTGAAAAATTAAAGCCTATAGAGTTAGGTATTGCATCAAGACTTCAAAAGAGGAAGAATGTAATTTAGCTTTGATAGCAGCTTTGGTATTAGCTGAATTGTCGTTGACCAATAAAAGAATATTGAATTAGATATTACATTATTTACCTTTAAAGAGAAAGAATGTAATTAGCTTTACCCTAATGCTTGGTGGGTACTGGAGGCACTTAGTATATATACTTGCTGTAAATATAGACCAAGGAAAAATATGCAGGCTTTATTAGGTGGATATTCTGTGAGTTTCTGATTACCCACAAACGACCAATAAAATCATTAAGGATCTTATATAGTTTTAAACAAATGGAGGTGTTCCACTGACAAAAAATCAAATAATTTGCTCTAATTGCGGTTTGTGGGTCAATATTCTTAAATTTGTTTCAGTGGATATATATGGATGATATTTTGTCTACTTAACTGGTTTGCATAAGCCCCAATTAAGGATTATAAATATTCACACATATATTTCACCTACACTATTTTGGTTGTGTTGTGAGTTAAAAAAAACTCTAAGTTAGTTTAATTGATTGTCACATGTTTGTTTAAGTATGAATAAACAAGTTGACGGTACATTATTAAGGTAAAATGTATGCTTAAATGGACACGTGCCAATCAGTTAAAACACTCTTGTTGAGTTTTTTTCTTTTACTAAACTCTTGTAGAGTTTTTAAACTTTACTTCTCGTGTATAATATAATAGATTACAGTTATATATTTACTGCTTATTTACTTTTTGATCCTCCTAATGGGGAAAGAATAATAATTCATTTTTTAGAGTATATAGACTTTTATCCAAGTCATTGAGGATTGTGGGGTGCAAGAGGTCGGGTCTTGTGAGAACATCCTTATGGTATAGAACCTTTATATTTCAACTTTGTGATTTCGTGTTTTTCTGTTGTCAATATTTGTGTACCGTATTCTTTTTTTTTTTTTTTTGTTAGACAAAGTTAATTTTTTGATACCCATGTTAGGAGTATGTCTCATAATTTGCATCTTCCAGGTACTGGTTTATTCTTTAGATTGTCAATATGAATGTTAACATGCTGCATATTGAATATTTTTGGGTTGTAAAATCACAAGTTATCAATTTCCTTACTGTTGTAGGTTGGAGACTCAGAATTTAAGGGTCGTGAACGTGTGTGGTACACTAAGGACCAGGTCCTACAGCTTAGGAAGGTAATTGAGCAAACTTTTGCTTAGTAGTACGTTTAGCCTCTGCATCAGCAAACTATTGCTTCATTTTACTTCCAAAACAATCCAGAAAAGAACAAATCTATTCTTTTTATCTGCTTACTAGTTGTTCAAAGCTGTTAGCATCCTGTTTCAATTGTAGTGAGATGATCATGGAAATAAGTAGTTCAATGTTCATACCCCTTTTCATATATATATATATATATTGTGTTGAAATTAAACGTGATTATGCTTCTTTCTTTCTCTTTAGGCTATAGAAGTTGCTAAAGAGATTATTAAAATAAAACGAGATATTGAAGGACAAATCTTCAATGAAGATTTGGGCTTGTGGAGAAAGCAATGTGCTATCTAACTGCTCATTTGCATCTTACTTCTTAATATGTTAATAGCAATTAAGTTCCTTGATGAAGTTCTTGTATTTTCAATTAATTTTGCCAAGCATACATTCTTTGTTAACGCCTGTTACTTCATACTCTTTACTTTTGCGGTCCAGCAAGTTATACGCAGAAGTGTTACTCTGAGCCCGACTACCGTGATTGGTTTAGATGTTCGGCACAGATTCCTCCTGCTGTAGAGGGAAGGTCCTGGGAATCTCTTCGGGATAGAGATTTGGGGAACCAATTTGATTCCAGACAGCCAAAAGCATATAAACTAAATCGCCATGATCTATTCAACCCTCGGAACTCTGTAATTAATAGGGCTTCGCATTGGCTTTGTATTTATGGGGGGTGTTCATCATCATATAGGGATGTCAAATGGGTACAATTTCGTGGATTCTGCACCGTACCCGCTTCAATTGGGGCGGGGATGGGTATAAATTTAGTGGGTAGTAGGCGGGTGTGGATTTAGAAAGTGGTATCAGTCGCGGGTAGTAGGCGGCTGATGGGTTTGAGACCTTATCCGCCCCATATCCGCCCGCCCACTAAATACCCATTAAATTTTGGATCATTATGAATTTGGGTATAATTTTAGAGATTAATTTATACAGGTGGAAGAGTAATTGGTCCTTATCGTAGTCGATTACTTCCGAAGACGATTGAAGCATTAATGTGTGCTCAAAATTGGCTTTGGGCCGATATTAAAGGTAATATTATTATTTAGTCTATGGTAGTTGTCAAATTGTGCTTAATTATCTTATTAAAGTTTAGTTACTAACTTATATTAGTTTTGCTTTCTATTATATATAGAGGTAGTAGTGAATTTAAATTGGAGCGCTCTCAATTGGAGGAAATAGAGAATGATGATTGTAATACTGGGTAACAGATGCCACAAGTATTGCCTGAAATTTGAAAATGTTGTGTCAAATAACAAAAATATTATGTGTTTGTCATTTATGTTTCTAGGCTTAAATTATGCCTTTTATTATGGTGTTTTATGTACTTTAAGATCTATGTTAACACTTAACTCGGATAATCCTTTGTTTATTTTATTATCCTTCTTAATGGACGTGTTTGTTTTATGTTTGTTGCTTATGTATAACTTAAGGTTGTTGTCAGACGGGTCTAGTCGGGTATGTGTAACATCCTCAATACCGGGTTAGTGACTAAATTGTAAAACTTCAAAATTGAGTGATTAAAGTAGAATAGTTGAATAGCTCAATGACTTATTTGGAAATAAGTTATGAAGAGTTGTTAGCAATTATTAAAGGAATTAAAGGGCAAAATGGTCATTTGACTTGTAAATGGATAAGATAAGGATATATACGGGATAAGGTTGAGAGATTTCTCCAGAAATATCTTCCTTCTTCTTTTTTCTCTCCACCGTGAATTCAAGGGAGCAAAGGTGAGTTTTTTGATTTGTTGATTTTAAGTTTGAGTTTTGATCATTAGGTGATACATATGCTTAAGGAAAGCTTAAGTTGTCTTATAATCAAAAGATGAAGAAGTTATGAGAGATTAAAGAGAAAAGGTTTTTAAATGAATTTCTGGAAAAGAGTTGATAAGTTGAATTCGAGATTAAATTTGACTTGTCATCAACTTAATTAAGAGATACGAAGTGATAGAATTGGATTTAGAACATCTTGAAAATTTGATATGATTATTGATTTCTATATGGAGAATAGGATTTTGAGGTTTAAGATGTGATAAATGAGTATAAATTGGTTTAAGAATATGTATGTGAGTTAGGAACCTGAAAATGGAGGAAACATGAAGTGTTGAAGCTAAAAATAGTAAATTTTCGTGCTTAAAATACAATTTCTGGGCAAGGTGTATCGGTACACATGCAATATGTACTGATGCACTCTTAAATAAATAAACATCGAATGCAATGAGTGTATCAATACACAGGTAGTGTATCGATGCACCACCTTAAGATGAAAACATCGAATGTAATTTGTGTACCGATGCATAGGTAGTGTATCGATGCACACGTTAAGGAAATGTACCGATACACTATAGAGTGTACCCATACACGTCAAAGGGAAAATGGAAATAGATCTTTCTTATAGCTTAAGAAATCAAGTATCAAATCATAGTATTTGAAATACTGATACTATATACATGATTGTGTAGATGTCGATCGAAAGCAACGACCGGACAAGTTTACAATTGATAGTCATCGAGAAGAGATAAGGGATTGGTAGTGACTTGTGAGGTCATGTGAGTGCAAATTTAATTTGTACCTATGTTATAGAATAAACATTGGCTTGCGATGAGCCTGTGACGGGTCACTTCTTACGTTACTATGGTAAGAAGTAACTCCTAAAATGTTATTTGATTATGACGCTGCATAACATTATATATGGACGTTTTACATCATTGGGTAGGATTTGCGATAAGTCTATTTCCCATGTTGGAATACATGATTTCATAAGTACAAGCATGTGATTGATATGATGCTTATGTGTACATGAGTACATGGAAATGATTTACATAAATATGAAAATGATATCAGTTGTGTGATATATGACATGTTATTCTATGTGATATGATACATCTACATGATTACATGCAAATATGATATATGTGAAATGATATACGTGATTACATGCACTTGTAACATATGTTATATGACATGGACCTATGTTACTACATGAGAAAGAATATAAGTTATGCGACTATATGAACATGTGAATATATGTCTATGAGAAGACATAGCCATGTGAATATACTTGAATAATACATATTATATGATATGAGATATATGTTTACACATACATGGGGTATGTGACAGAAGAGAATGAACATATGATTATAAGAGAAATGATATGAATACATGAATTTATGCAACATAATGATAATGTCCATGTTATGTGATATGAGAGCTAGTGGTATAGTTGGCATGTCAAGAGTCGAGGGTTACCTATGTTCTGCAGGACATATGGACTGTTTACCTATGTTTTTCGGGACATATGGACTGTTTACCTATGTTTTTCGAGACATATGGACTGTTTACCTATGTTCTTCGGGACATATGGACTGTTTACCTATGTTTTTCGGGACATATGAACTGATTACCTATGTTCTTCGGAACATATGGATTGGTTCTTCGGGACATTTATACGAGCTGTGGTGACAGCATAATTGTGCACAACCTCAATGTACTCACATACCTTAAGTTCTCATAAGTGTACATGGGCTTTAAAGAGAGTAAATAAATCAATTGGTGTGATACTATGTGTGCTCTGTTGTGAAATGACATATGTGTTCTATGGGGTGTATAGAAATGTTCAATATATGCTTAAATGATAAAAAAGAATTAATGGTAATAATATAAGTACTGATAAGCATGTTAATGATATATGCATATGTGTATATTGGTTATATGAAAGGATCTATGCTTTTATCTGATATGATGGTATTAATTATTTATGCATTGATATGAGTAGAGTTATATTACATGTTTTACATGTCTCACTAATTCATAGACTTAGCGTGTGAGTGTTTCACACGTATGTTCCGGAAAGCTAGAAGAGAAGCGAAGTGGAGCAAGACAGGCCAACAACTCCTTTACGAAGTTCAGATCATAAAAGAAATGGAAATGATTATGTATTTTGTTATATTGAATATAGTTGGCATGTACTATAAAATTGAGTTGAATACACTCTGATATGTTTTGAAAAACCAATTTGGTTTTTAAATGAATGAAAAGCAACCATTTTATTGAACTGTGAATTTACTTTTAGTCATTTTATAAAGAAAAATGTTTAAAAAGTCAATGTGACACCTCGGATTCGGATCCGGGTTGGGTGTTATAGTACGTCTCTAGTTGGGTAGTGGGTGTGGGGATAGATTTGAGAATGTACCCGCGTGGGCGGGTGTGGATTTAAAAAATTTTTACCCATCATGGTGGTAGGCGAGTGGTGGATTTAAAAATATTAGGTAGGTATGGGGTAGGGGAGGGGGTATCCGCACCCGACCCGCCCGTTTGCCATCCCTATCATCATATATGTATTTCTGCTATCTATTCACAAACCATAAAAGAAACCTTGCATGACGCATTATGTTGCTCTAATAGTTATGTAACAGACCCATGGAGCAGGAACAACTTTTTTCTTATTAAATTAAACGGATGCAAGGCATTTCTGTGGTAAAAGATGCAAATGTATCAGCTGATCCCCTTATTAGCCATGACTTTTTTGTTAACTTGCAAACATGCCAAGCGGTTTCATTTTCAAGTAGGCTTGATAGGAAGAGGCAATCCTTTCCTTTGTTGGATAGTGAAATTACTGGTTATTCTCAATGTGTACGTTCTCTGTCTAGGATATTGAACAAACTGACTCTGGGGAAGTATGATCTTTTGAAGTGCCAACTAATTCATTCCATCACGTCGGCTGATATCTTGAAGGTTATTATTTCTAAATTTGTGCTATTCTTTTTTACATTGCCGCATATTTTCTTCTTTATTTATTTCTATGTATGTATATGTGTGTACATATATCCACACACATGTACATTTCACGTATGCTGTTGTATGTATGTATATGTGTTTATATCCACAGACATGCACATAGTAACTGCAGGTTAAATCACTGATGGTTTCAATGCTGCCTTTACAGGGGGTCGTTTGTCTAATATTTGAGAAGGCTGTGCTGGAACCCATGTTTTGCCCTATGTGTTTCTCTTATGTTCTGATCTTAATCATAAGCTTCCCTCATTCCCATCTGATGAACCTGGCGGAAAAGATATCACATTTAAGCGAGTCCTCCTGAATAACTGCCAGGAGGCATTCGAGGGAGCTGACAAGCTCAGAGAAGAAATGCGGCTGATGACTTCCCCTGCGCGAGACATGGAGCATGGGAACAAAGAAAGGATGATCAAGCTCCGCACTCTGGGTAATATTCATTTAATTGGTGAGCTTCTGAAGCAAAAAATGGTACCTGAGAAGATAGGCTATCACATTGTGCAGGTTATTGCTGATACTTTGCGATTAACGGATTTTGGAATTTTTGTAAGTTATGCCGAATCACTTTCTTTCCTTTGTGTCAAACAGGAACTTTTGGGCCGTGACAGTGGAGGATGCCCTGCAGAGGAGAATGTTGGAGCCCTTTGTCTGTTATTAATCCCTTTTAGTAAACAGCTTGATGGACAATCACAGTGCATAATGATGTTTGCTTCAGATTGACTACAAATTCTCAGCTTGCTCCAAGATTGAGAAGTATGGTTCGCCATGTTCTCAATCTTTGGGCAAACTTCAGCAGATTTAAGGAATTGATTACAAGTCCTCAGCTTGCTCTGAGATTGGGATTTATTGTTTGTGATCTTGATGTTCAGGCAAGTAAATGGGTTCCCAGACGTGAGGATGTAGCTTATAAGTTCCATCAAATTTTATGGGTTAGATTAGACAGATGTTGGAATGCCGTGTGAATGGGCTTTTATTGATGACTCTTTTTTTTCCGATATGAATTTCTGCAGGGAAAGACAACAATTACTGCAAGTATTAGAAACAGTAATGTTGTTTCTGTTGATCCTATGAGTCCTGGTCGTGGGGGTTTTCCGATCCCATGCCCTGGTACAGGAGATTTGATGCCTGGAATGCCGGGAACTCGAGATTTGATGCCGGGAATGCCGGGAATGTACAATGATGACTGGGGAACTCATAGGACTCGGTCAATGCCAAGGGGTGATGCACAAGGCATGCAGCTTGAATTTGATGGACTGTACGACATTTTGGTAGATGATACACCAGAGAAGTCTAAAGACATTTCTCCACCATCTAAGTCTGTGAAACCGAGTTCCCCGAACAGCAAGCGAGTTTCACCTCAAGCTCTTCACTAGCACTAAGAAATGGCCGTAAGTTCATGCAAAAAGCTGCGCCTTCAAAAGGTAACCGTAATGAGAGTAGAAGAAATTCTCAAGACATAGTAGCAACCATTAATGAGCAATTTTAATGGGGCCTTTATGAGGTGAGCTTTGTGGTCTAATACAGGTTTTTTGCTACATGATTCTGCATGCATACTATCTGCATTTTCGTGTTAGACTGTTTGCTTCTGTGAAATGTATAAAAGTAAAAACCCTAAAATCAGTTAAGACTTAAATTATAAATGAAAATTACAAACAAGAAAAGTTCTTGATAACAAGGTTCTTTTATTCTAGAATTTCTTTGCTTGCATTCAAATGCGTAAATGCGGTTCACAGTTCTGTATCTTATTGGGAAGTTGGCAACAGACTAAGCTCAATCAACAATTCAATTCAAAAACTGGCACAGATGAATGTTTAACCAGCCAAAATTAGGAAAAGGTGAAATTCATGGTGCAGTTCTGATATCGGAATACCATTCAACATGCAGTAACTACGAAATACGACTCAAAAACCCTCAAGGAATGGTTCGCTGATAGAGAGGCAATGCTCCCAATGCTTCACGCTCTGCATTCTCCTTCTTCACCTGCAAGATACAATCAAAAACTTCTTAATACATATACTCCAACTCTGTCCATTCATTTCATTTCACATTGACTTTCAACCTTTGCTTCAGTCGAAACACAAACATAACAGCTTAAAAATTCTAACACTTCACCATAAACAAAGTGAAACACAAACAGAAAATTTGCCAGCGAACATGATGAAGAACAATATGACTTATATGTCAAAAATTTGACACGCGCCATCAAGGTGTTGCACCTTGGCACCAGACAACAAAAGCAACATAGACCCTTCGGAACGAAGTGCATTTGATCAGGCACACGGTTTGTGCCCTTAGGTGCATTTTTTTGTAAGACTGTTTAAAATAAAATCACGGTCGATTCATCAACAGAATTTGTACTGTACAAGAACTTACAAGAGCAAGCATGTCTTGAAGATAGCTCCTAAATGGTGTCTGCATTTTCTGCAAAGGAACGATAAAATCCAATGACTTATGATTAATCTCAAAGCACAATAATGAAGCAAAGATGCATGTTCAAAAAAAAAAGTGAAAAGGGCGACTAACAAGCATGGATAATTATAAACATAAACATATCTACTAATGTTGACAAAAGTAGTCTTAATCTTAATGATAAAAATTCTAAAATATTAGTTCCTCATCCCCAAAGAGTTTTTTCGATCCTTAGACAGGGATTGAGCTTTTTATGTCAAAACAATTTGTTCGGCGTTGCAACTTCCATTCTACTGGTATTTACCTATAGATTTAGGAAGCAAAAAACAACTAACAGCAGAAACAGATCATAGCAAAGAAATCAAGATAATTATTCTACCTTTCTTTGAAAGACTATATTCATACGTACTCTTATCAACTTTTCTTCTTCTTTTTAATGATGCCATACAAATTTAAAGGTAATTGGATTTATAATAGGATTCATATACGGTTTCTGACATTTAAAAGCTGTTCCTTATTCACAATTACGCAAAAAGAAAATCAATCCTCCAAAATTAAATACTCAAATAAGATTCTCCAAAATCATCACTCAAAACTAAAAAAAAAATAGAAAGAAACCTGAAGATCTTGAGGGAGATACTCGTGCTTCATGGAGAGGTCAATTGCACGCTTAAGGCGTTGGTTACGGGCATCGACGATCTCACGAGGCAGCCTGTTCAACGCTTCCTTGATATCCAAATCGTAGTAAGGATCGTACAGATCGTCGTAACGAAGGCCTGAACACATTATCCAACAAATTTAATTGGGGGAAAAGTTTAGGGTTAAGATATTGAGGAAAATCGTACCGTATTTGCTGAGGCGGTTGGTAAGGGTTTTCATATGCAGGGATGCCAACCAGCTCTTTTTCGGATCCAAAAGTGACTGCAAAAGCGACGACATTTTGCTGCTTTCCCTTCCTCGGCTGAATCCCGAGCCTTTGAATGTAGATTAAGGGTTTGTTATTTGTTACAATTTTGTAGCAATATAGCTACCGGGTTACGAGACTCCCATGAGATATTAAATAGTATTATTTTTAGGGAAACAATGCATTTAGTAATTAAAGTATTAGTTTTGATCATTTTAGTATCTAAACTTTTATTTTTTAAATCATATATAATGTTTAGTTTTTATTTCATTTTAGTATTGCTATTAAAAACTTAATGGACGATCTGACTAATCTGAACGATGGACTACGAGAGAATGATGAGTCGACCAATATAGTCCAGTTTTAGGTCTATCGGGCGGTTGATGACGAAGATCAGAGGATAAAGAAGTCAAAGAGTCCATCTATTTGAGAAGATTGAGACATTTTTCGATAAAATAGAGGTCATAATCATGTTCAGGAGGTCGAAAAAGGTATGGATTTGAAGGTTTGGGCTTCATCGATCGATAGATGTGACAATCAATGACTATAAGTATGGCGATCGACGAGCTCGTCCGTTAAATTTTTAACAGCATAGTACTAAAATGAAATTAAAATTAAACGTTAGGTATGATTTAAAAAAATGAAAGTTTAGGTATTAAAATGAATTAAAACTGATAGTTTAGGTACTAGACGCATAATTTACCCTTTATTTTAACCAATAGTGATTTAATGTAATTATTTTTTACGTGATAAATAAGAGAGGTCTGGTATAATGCATATGTTAGCTCAGTGTTTCTTTGTTTACTTCTCGATCCAAAGGTACAGATTCTTGCTATCATATCGGACGGTAAGGATTATCGCTATTTTTATTTGGGCGTAACCTAATAATAACCTACGATCTCATTTCAGCTGTAGCGAGAGAGGAGATTCACTCCAGCCAAATGAGAGGAACCATCGACAGAACCCTGTCTAACCCTAACAATCAATACCTTGCTTCTCTTACCAAACGCACCTCTTTCCTCCTCCAATACTCCGGCTCCGGCGGCGGCCGTGGCCGTGGCCGAGGCCTTGCCGGGGGGAAACTCTCCTTTTGGTTGGTTCACTCCAGCCACCGGAAAATCTGAATCAGAGGGCAAAAGGTCCGACTCAAATGAATCACCTTCCGTCGGATTAGGTCACGGTCGTGGAAGAGGAACTCCCTTATCATCCGAATCCAAACTCCCCCTTTCTCTTCTCCTGTTTCCCGATATGGTTCCGGTTGAGGCCGAGGCACCAATGAGCCAGTGCCGCCTCCGAGGCAACCGAAAGTGCCGATATTTGTAATGAAACAGGATGAAATTGAAGCTGATTCCTCGGCCAAGCCGGCCACCGACTCGGTTCAGTCGATGGAGCCACGGCTTCCATCTAGTATACCCTCCGTTGCATCATTCTCGGGTGCTGGGCGTGGCAAGCCCTCTAAGCAACCGGAGCCTGCCTTGCGGATGAAGGACGAAAATAGGCATATCCGAGCGCAGCAGCAGCAACAACGGCAACAACTACCTCCATTGCCGCAGATGTGCAAGGGAGATTCTTTCGAGGAGAAACGAGGGCGATAAAAGGGAGGATATGGGTATGAGTGGAGGTAGAGGATAAGGAAGAGGTAGGCAGTCGGACAGGGGTAGGGGTAGGGGAAGAGGAAGAGGGCGGGGAGGATACTCAAGGAAAGAGGAAGAAGATGCTAAAGAGCTTGAAGACGATCTTTATTTACGAGATGATGGGAACTGGGAGAAATTTGCACGAACTATTGGAGCTGAAAATAAGGCTAAGTTGGTTGAAGGGAAGAGCTTTCCAGTAGAGCCATGCCTTCTCCTCTGGACGATGCTTACTTGGAAGCTATGCATACCAAATTTATGGTGAGTTGTGTTCTTTTCTTCGTATGCTATCAGCTGAAAGAGAATTGGTCTGGTGATTTGTTTTTAGCATAGAAAAAGTATAAATGAAAACTTGGGTTGGAGCAAACTGTTCTAACTTTCGCTAAACACCATTACGTTGAACAAGAACGTAAATTGGTTCTAGGGGTGACAATTACAATAATAGGCTTTAATCTGAAAGATGTGGCTCAGTGAATGGTGTATTTTAAATCTGCAAGGCTGATAAGTGGTAATACTGGTAATTGGTTGGTGTGTAAAATTATATTCACATTGCAGTCCTTGCATCCTCTGGTTAGCTTGACATAATTTAATGTGTTTTTGCTGATTTTAATGATTCATTTGTTCCACTGTTTGTAAAGGCTTATGTAAAACATTGCTAACAAATAGGATTATGTTGTTGTTGTGGTGGTGGATAAAACTGATAATGCACTTGTAAAAGAAGAACATGTGAAACAATATTGAACTAATTCAATCATTTCCTTAATTATTTTTACTTGTCAACAAGATTAGGCATGGGTTATATTGCCAGACTAGGATTTATTTGGGTTAATCTGGATCTCAAACCATTTATCTACTTGTTTGGCTTGCAGATAGAGTTTAAACCTGAATATTTGATGGCAGATTTTGAGAGTAACCTAGATATTGATGAGAAACCACCCATGTCTCTTAGAGATGCACTTGAGAAGGTGAAACCTTTCCTCATGTCATATGAAGGAATTCAAAATCAAGAAGAGTGGGAGGTATGTTCTATTGCTTTGAATATGGTTCATGGTTGTTTTTCTCATTGCTTTTAACTGGATGTATATCTTCCATATGAATGACATGGAGAACTAAAAATATTTATCCTTAGTCCTTACTGATAGATTCTTATTCAAATATTTAGAGGACATCCTGCTTCAAGTTAATCCTATAGTTGAACTTGGACAAGGCTGAAGTTACATTAATGGAGATGAAATCCATTTAGTTTCTAAGCCACAAAATCACCGTAAGGAATTAAGGCCATGGTGAAATTGTTTGAGCACACAAAATTTTTCTTAAAGAAATTGAATAGTTAACCTGTGAAATCCACATTATTTTGTGGTGTTAACATTTTCTGAAAAAGGACCCTAATTTTTTTTCTTGATAGTCTTTTTTAGATGACTTCTTCATGTGAATATCTTTAAACTATGTTTTCCACAATCTTAACTTTTTAGGAAGCCATCAAAGAAACAATGGAAAATGAACGTCTACTGAAAGGGATCATTGATCACTACAGTGGACCTGACAGAGTAAGTGCAAAGAAACAGCAAGAAGAGTTGGAAAGAGTTGCAAAAACTCTTCCCAAAAGTGCACCTGCTTCTGTGAAGAACCTTGCAAACCGTGCAGTTCCTTCTCTTCAGGTTACTATTTATACTCGACTAATTTTTCTTTCATGCACAATTGCGTCTGAGGATGATACTTTCTGGTGATGTACAATTGTGAGATATCGGTTTTTGAACTTTAGCTTCCTTGCATTCTTTTTGGACTTGTATGATAGATTTGACACATTATGAGACAACTTGTCTTCCATGGATATGAGAGGCCAAAGTACTGAAGTTTGTTGTGTTTTACTGGGAATGTTCAAAAGTATTTTATGTGTTATGCTACGATTGTCTAATTCAATTCCAATCCATTTTGACTCCCAACTTCATGTGTATTTGGAGATATGAGGAAAGAATAAGCTGAGATTGAGTCAAAATGATTCGGAGTTGAGTGATTAGATGAAAATTCCGTATTGCCGGATAGACCAATATTTATGTGTGATTTTGGGACTCGAAATATTCTTTTACTAGTATAAATATAGTGAAATAAAAGTTGTACATATAAAAACGACCACTAAAATATGAAACAAGCATCGGTATTTGGCAACTAAGTGGGACTGAAATTAGGGTTATAAATGAGACGAGACAGATCGTGAGTTATTAAAGATTGACTTGATAAATATTCGACGTGAGTTATTCAAGATTGACTTGAAAAATATTCGATTCGAATGGAGTCGACTCGAGTTCTTAACGAGCTGAAAAGAATTACTTTATACTTAACTTGTAAAGTTTGTGAGCAACTTGAAAGTATAATATATTAAGATTTTATTTTTTTTAAAACTAAATTATTAATAATATTAATAGTTATGTGTTGATTTTTTTAAAAATACAGTAGAAAATTTTTCTGTTTAGGTTCGAGTTTGAGTTTCAATTGAGTTAAGTTTAAGATTTTTTTTCATTTGGAACTTTTACGAGTTTTAATTCATGGTTTTAAGCTCGAGTTGAATTTGAAAATTTTAGGCTCACGAGTTTTTAAGTCTAGTTGAATTCCATTTTGACTCGGCTAGTTTATAGTCCTAACCGGAGCTGGGACTGGCCTAATTCAACTGGAAGTTTTCTTCTTACCACTGCCACTTCTTTTGGCAACTCTATCTCTCTCTCTCATCTAACTGTTGTTAAAAGTCAAGAACGAGAATTCAATATCACTATGACCGTTAAGAAAAACATCTTTTATATTATCATTTTGATAGTCTTATACGATTGTAATTAAGAAATAAAGCTATTCTATTATCTAAAACATATAGGGAGAGAAAATGGAAGAGGTCCGTACATATTAATTAATTTAATTGACAAATTTAAAGGAATGTGAAAATATATTACATCGTACGAGAGTTCAAGTATTAAGATCCTCAGAAGTTTCTTATTACGGACTAAGATGGGACTAGCCCACTCGACCAGGTTATGTTCTCGGCTAGGCCTGCTCTTGTCCATTGCTTTTCTTCCGGGGAGCTTCTCAAGTAACACTTCTCCAAATCCGTAAACATCACTTCTTGCCGTTAAATGGCCTGCTCATGTCAATACTGCAACTTGGTTAGCCTTTATCATTTCTAGAACCGGCAGTCCAGCATACCTAAATATTATGAGTAGCTTTGGAAAGGATAAAACAAAACAAGAGCATCACAGAACTGTTCTATAACACATTCTATCCGGCAATTGAAACGATTTGGTTGGGAAAATAAAGTTGAAATGGTTCCAAAATTACTGCAGAATTTTGTCATCTGATTTCATTTTTGGAATATCCCAGATGCATATACCACCAAAACACCAGGAACATGTTCTACAAAGACATGAGAAAGGGAACAAAGAAAATTGCTACTTCCAAATTCCACTGAACTGAACAAAAAGTTAAGAGAATATGATTCCATCCAATGCCAGGGGAATTTCGAACTCCGTTAGCAGGATAACAGGATGACATATATCGGGTAGACTAAAAATAATTATAGATTAATATAAAAAATTATCAGTCTTTTAACCGCGTTTGTATAAGAGAATACCTACTACTAATTGATTAAGATGAGCCTATCATTAAGACTTAAAATATTCCCCATTTTTGGCGAAGATGAAGATTTTCAGTTCCATTGTAACAGAATAATTAATAACAAACCAGTAATCACATATTCAGAAGCAGCATATCCATATGTGCCCATCACTCGTGTTGACACATGGGTCTTGTCTCCCATTGGTCCTTCCTTCGCAAGGCCAAAATCTGAGAGCTTTGCATTGAAGACCTACAGTTTAGATGCATATTTAGAAATAAAGTCCACAACTTCCTGAAAAGAAAACATGGAAACTTAGACTACGTTTCAATTGAACTCTAGATATGGATAATATTTGTCAGAAGGAAACTTCCACTGATTTAATCATTTGTAAGATTTTTTTACTTTTAGGAGCTATAATAAACTAAATTTCTGATTGTAGAAATTTCTTTAAAAAAGAAAATTGATCTCAGAAAAGGTCATATACAAGCTTATTAGTCTTCCCATTTTTAAAGATTCCATAAAATAATACAAACTTGAATACTTGATTAATGTGCATCCAACTGACGAATAACAAATAAGTGATGACTAACCGCATCCAGCAAGATGTTTGATGTCTTGAAGTCACGGTACATGATAGGTCTTTCTGCATCATGGAGAAAAGCAAGCCCTTTTGCAGCATCTAAAGCAATCTTCATTCTTTTTGACCAAGTCAAACAACAACCAACCAAGAACAAATAGGGTCAGTAAAAAAATTTCTTCTATTCTTTCTAGAGTGGAAAATAGATACCTCATTCCTTGATATGCATGCTCAATGCAGATTCTTTTACTAGTGCTCTTTATCTCCTAAACATATACCTAAAATTACTTCTTTTTTCCAACCACTTACTGCGGAAAAGATTTTTTCAAGGCTCCCACTTGCCATGTATTCATAGACAAGCAGCCGATTGATCATCTCCACAGCAATATCCAATGAGCTTCACGAGATTTGGATGGCTGAGTTGTCCTAGATAATTGACTTCAGCCTGCAATACAAGGATTGAGGTACAAACAGAAGCACATATATTTTGTCTTGATTTTTTTATTCTAAATAAAAAAGGAAAGAAAGGCACACAATAATCTAACATATCAACTTGAAAACACTTTTGTTCAGGTACCATTTACTGGTGGACAAGATGCAGTTGAATCTTGTAACCATCCATAAAATGAGAAATAGCAACAAAAATAGCTCTTTCTAGATGAAATAATCTCAAATATAAAATAATATGGAAAACCATATCAACATTTTAAAATCATTTGCTCAATTATATATGCCTAAAAGTATATGTATACCTATCGAAGATATTCATGTAATGATTAAATTATACTTCTCTATCTAACCCAAGGTAGCATAACAACTATATTAATAAGATAATAGGGTGTATTCCTTTAAAGTGGATTCTCATAATAGTTATACTATAACAGAATCTACCATATACTGAGCAGTCTTTCCCCAGCTAGATAAACTTGGCAAAGTTTGTATCCATAAGTTTGTACCACTGTTTGGCAATGGTATGACAAATTATGAATCCGTAAATGTACGTATGGCGCAAATAAAATCATAACACCTCAAGTTAAAGGAATTACATAGAAGATGCCAATTAAACAATACAAGGAGATTACCAGCCATTCTCTGTCACCTTGGAACCCGTCAGGATTAAGCTCCTTAACGGCAACAGCTGTAGATTTGTAACCAGGCCTCACATTTTCATCTGACTCCTTTATAAACAACCCCAAAGCCACCATCACCAAAAATATAGTCTGGCCACAATTGCTTTGTAGCCAACCTCATCTCCTCATACGTGAATACTGAATACATCAACGTTACTGTATCCGGGATTCTGCCGTAGATCTTTGACATCCTTTACTGTCAAAGCAATAAAGCTTGGGCTTCTGATTTTGAGTGAGTATAGGTTTTCTTGTTCTTTTGAGGATGCCATGGTTTTAAGTCCTCCATCTGAAGTTGTTCATAACAAAGAAAGATTTACAAGAATGGAACATTAACACCCATCTTATTTAATAGTCCTATTATGCGGTTTAGAAAATATTGGTTACACAAGGCACAAATGGAAAGCATTCAGAGTTCAACCTATAGCAGGTTGTTCAAATTCAACGCAAACAATTACTGTCATGATTCTCTTGTCTGCAATAAATTTTACGCTAGTTTATCAAAATGTACAGCATACAACAAGTTGTATACTTTTAATTTACTAAAAACATACCCGCATCATCTTGATTAAAATTTCTCATACTACAACTCTTCAGTTGAGCAACATTTTACAAATTCCAACCAAAAAACGAATCACAACCATAATCAAGAACAAAGTCTGAACAATGTCAAAACCTAATAAACTTCTAGCAATCAATACACAGAGTTTCAAATAGAACACCGAAAGCTGGAAGAGTAAGTAAAACAGGAAACTGACCAGAAACTTAAAAACCAAAGAAATTAAAAAGACAAAAATTCACAAGAAAAACTAAAAGAAAATGAAAAATAATCTGGGGCCTTCGTGTGAGATCGGTGCGACTGTTCTTCAATAATAGAACAAATCCCCATTAATCCGTCGGCCCACACTCTGAAAATGACTCTGGACTCAGATTTTTATCTACTCATTGCTCTATATCACATTATACTTAGTAGGAGGATCTTATCTCAGTCTAAATGAACAAATCTTAGTCGACGTTGTAAAAAGAAGAAATGGGATCAGCTCTATGACTCAGTCTCAACGAAGAAATGCAGCGATCAAACTCGGTTAACAAGGGAAAGGGACTGCGAAGAAGGAGAGTAAAAAACACGCAAAAACTATTAAAAAAGGTGGAAGAGCGAGATAATGTTTTACTCGGAGTTTCTTCTCTACGATTATTCTTTTTCATTATTCAGAAGCCGCGAAAAACGATTTAGAAAAATGAAACCCATATTAGATTTAAATTCAAATTCAAATAATCAATAATGCAAAAGGTTTAAATATTATATTTAAATCTTAATATAAAAACAAGTGCTCAAATTGTATCTCTTTTTTATTTTATTCATATGTTTAAATTATTTTTCCATTAATTCAAGTGTTTAGGGTTAAAAGTTATCATTTTAAGTGTTTTAACTATAATTATAATTGTCCTTAAAAAAAATTTATTGAGCGATATATGTCATGTTCTGATATTTTTGAATATTTTATTAAAATACAATTTTTAAAATATATTCTCCTTTTAAAAAAATCAAAGTTTTCAAAATTTTAAAAAATAAATTTTGAAAACATTTATTTTAATCTTTATATCAACGTCAGTCATTGCGTTTATTGTCGTTATTATCGACTGAACCTTCATCCGAACAAACTTTCACCATTGAAACATAAATTCGATGATACATTTATCGTCATTAAATTTTTCGATCGTCGTCATCAAATGTTAATCTTAGATGAAAGGATAGGGAGATGATAAGAAAGTATTGAGGGTTGAAGGGGGATGAGAGGGAGAGAGTGGATGGGGGAGGGAATGAGAGGATATGTCATTTTAATTATAATATTGGTTTAAGTATACAAATAGGGATGTCAAACGGTCGAGTCGGGTGTGGATACCCCTCCCCTATCCTCATACCCACCTAATAATTTTAAATCCACCACCCGCCCACCATCTATGATGAGTAAAATTTTTCAAATCTACACCCGCCCACGGGGTACATTCTCAAATCCATCCCCACATCCACTATCCAACTGGAGACGTACCCGGCTAAACCCTCCTAGACCCGCCTGACAGCAACCTTAAGTTATACATAAACAACAAACCTAAAACAAACACATCCATTAAGAAACATAATAATATAAACCAAGGATTATCTGAGTTAAGTGTTAACATAGATCTTAAAGTACATAAAACACCATAATAAAAAAAACATAATTAAAGCATAGAAACATAAATGATAAACACATAATATTTTTGTTCTTTAGCACACATAAATGACAAACCCTAAAATTATACATAAATTTATAATGGTCCAAAATTTAATGGTTATTTAGTGGGTGAACGGATGTGGGGCGGGCGGATGCGGGACGGGTAAGGTCTCAAATCCATCACCTGCCCACTACCCGCGATGGGTACCACTTTCTAAATCCACACCCGCCCACTACCCACTAAAATTATACTCATCCCCGCCCCAATTGGAGCGGGTACGATGTGAAATCCACGAAATTATACTCGTTTGTCATCCCTATATATAAAAGGTGTTCAACCTATGTACGTTTTTCTAGTTTAATGTCTATCGTTTATTTCGTTTCAGTTTGGTGCCTAACGTTTCATTCCGTTACTCAAAATGGGTCACACCGTGACGGACCGTTAAGTTTGGTCGTTAACCCATTAAAAATGTCACATTGTGTAACGCCCATAACTAATATATGTATCGAAATGCGAGTCATAAATATCACATCAACTCAACAAACGTTCATTGAGCATAAATACTTAAAATTTTGTTTCTTTTTACAATACTCCTATTTTAAACATTAAATCTATTTCCTTAAAAACATATAATTATAAATTAATAGTTTGTCGTAAGAAAACAAATTCATTTTTCATGCATAGATTAGACATTTTAGTTTATTTTCGTAAATCATTTGGAACTGTCTGAATTCTGCTAACTATTCTACTCATGTATAATACTTATAACACCAGTCTAGACAAAATAAAGTAATCCTAGTTTACTATTATAGATCATTTAAAAGCAAATTCGATCAATAAAACTACTAACATAATTATGCATGCCACTAAAAGTCAAAAGTAACATCGTAGATGTCTTACTGATATTGATAATAGTTATGACTTCTAATAAGATGCTCGGAAGGCTCCTCACTGCACGCTCGTATCTCTATTAAAACGTACACATGAAAATCATCACGCGCTAAATAAAACTTAGTGAGGTATTAATAAGCTAAGGTGAGATAAAATATGAAAATATCATAAATATAAATAAAATAATTTAAATAAAACATTAAACTTGCAAACTGATTTATTCGAGACAATTTCTTCATCGTAAACTGAAATTTCATCTTAATTCATAATTTCATAAAGATTATGATAAATAATATCAAATAAATAATCATATCATACTTTATGTTGACGTAATTCATAACTTTCATATTCATTTTCGTAGCCCAATACATTTTTATGAGAATACAATGTACGTGAGTAGAACATAGGGTGCGCACTGGGCACATCACGGTGCCAATTATAACTGAAACATATAATGCACTCCAAATGCAATCATAACATAAGCACCAATTGTACGGGTCATAGTGTACACGAATGTACCATAACTAAATTGGAAAATACTCAACTTTAATGACATGTCAAATGCACCTACAACTCTCAACGTCTAATAATTGTAAACGTTTAAAATTTATCTTCATAAATATCGTACATGGACATTTCATACCCTAAATCATTTAAAAAACTTAATGAAAAATATTATGGAAAAATCATAATTAAAATTTATAAATCATACTTGAAAATAAAATGAAGTTGATTTATCGCAAGTCGTCATCGATAATTAAATAAATAAATTGTATCCACATTTATCTCACTACTGAACCTTTATATACTAATTCTTTACTCGCGTGCTTTTTCCTTTTCTTTCGGATCGCTAGGTTTATTGTGATCTGACAACGTCATATAATAACATAAAATATTTGAACTACATGTTAATATCGTACTAACATAAACTAACTTTAATATTATAAAAATCTATAAAAATGAAATCGATACTTAATCGATATCAAACTAAACTATATCTCCATTATAATTTCAAACTCCTCAAAATATTCATTCAAATCCACAAATATTTATTTTCATTCTTAACCCTTCATCTTTTACTAATTACACAAATAAGTTACTAATTGTGAATTCTTTTTAGAATTCACCCCAACTTTTTCATAAAATTCATAATGATCTTTCATCATTATGATCGTTGCACCTTAACTACAAAAATTCCAGTACTTTAATAAAATAGCCAAATCAACATTTCAACCTTCAAAATATTGCAATTTCAGTCCTAAACTTTGTTAAACTTTCAATTTCAACCCCCAACTTTATAAATTTGTAATTTGCTCGCAGCTCAAAAACCAACATATCAAGAATATTTCCAGCATTTAAAATTTCCTGTTCAGAATGGTACCAACACCTTTTCAAAATTATAAAAAGTCCCTAAAGTTATGGGAGCTTTCGAATTCCACCATTACATTTTAACCAAATTGCAATTTAGTTCCAACAAACTTTCCAACTTAAAATTTCCAGCATATACTTATTAAAAATCAACATTAGGTACCTCAATTTTCACATTTACACATTTAAGTCCCACAATTCTCATAACTCGCAAATTAACCCTTTTCTAATTCAAGCTTCCAAATTGATCTAAATTGATCTTCAACTCACATAGAACCCTTCTAATATTAATTCTAACCCATTAGGAAATTTCAAGATTTTTCCCTTGATTTCCTTCATGTGGCCGAACCTACCTAGTACAATAGGACAATGATTTCATTTAATTCCACGCATGAATTCAACTTCTTGTGATCAAATTTATGCATCTCCAATCATTCCAATACCAAAATTCAAACTAAAATCAATCAACTTTCACAAATCCTAGTGTGGACGAATGGTTCTACGCAAGTCTAAGTAATTTGATCATTACACATGCTTGAAAATTAATCTACAACATCAATAGAATAAAATTCAACCTTTAAATCATCAAACTCACAAATTTCTCCATAAACCCTAATCACCAATCTCTTCATATAATCATGCTCAGCATGTAATATTTATGCCAAATGATATGATAAAAAATTCATGTAGGTTAATTTTTTATCCAATAGCTTGGTCCAAAAATCAATCATAAGACTTTAAAAATCAAAATGAAATTCTCACCTTAGAGAGCAATGGAATTTCAGCCATGGAGAAGATGGAAGCTGAAAACGAGCTGATTTTCTTGAATATTCTAACATTAAGTAACCTTGACACATGGCTTAATACTAATATAATTGAATTTTTAATTCAATTATTGAGAAATTCCATTTTTGCCATTACTTAAACTTAAAAATTACCAAATGTCATTGCATTATCCTCTAATAAAATATTCCATAGTCAAATATGAATCAACTTGGCTTTGAATTTCTACTTTGGCCATGGAATTTTTGAAAAATGCATTTTAGTCACTAAAATTCTATTGTTCGAACAAATCTGAAAAATTACATGGATATGAGCTAAATTTATCTGATCTAAAATATGAAAATAATATTTCCAACCATTTTCTAACATCCTTCAATTTTTGTAAAATTCCAGTTCTATCCGATTATCCAATTTCAATATCGAACTTTATCGTTTTATAGTTTTTAACACAAATCTCGTACCGAAAATATGATTAACACAAAAATTCTTATTTTAGGCCAACACATTCATTTACGGGCTAAAATATATAACTTTTCAAAATTATATTTTTGGTTCCTAAACTTTTACAATGTTTATACTCTAGCCATTAAACTTTCAAAACTTACATTTTAATCACTAGCCAAAATTTGGGGTATTCCACCTATCATGGGTTGAAGGAGGAGGAGGAGGAGGTTAACGGGAGACCAAATTGCATATTTTACCAATTACAATTTCACCATTATACTAACTTAAATTTTATAATTTTATAAGGATTTAAACTGCAGTTTATCCACAACTTTTTCCTCTTTTTAGGGTCGAGTAAAACTCGATATGAAAAAATTCGACTCGAATTGACTTTAAATTGCAACTCAACTCGAAAAAATTTCAAGTTTAATTCGACTTGTAAAATACAACTTGAATAATTCAAAATTTACACTAATTATTGTATTGATTTTCAAGTTTGAGTCGAGTCATTCGACTCTGTATGATATATGCATATCACATATGAAAAAATATGAAAAAAATATATTTGTATTGTATATATTTATAAAAAATCATTTAAACTGAAATCAAATGATATCATTATATTACACATATTTACAATTAAATGTAAACATAAACTTGAAAATTTGATTCAAATAAATTCGACTCGAAAAAATTTAAAGTAAACTTTAAAATATAAAATATGACTCATTAATTTAAATAATTTTAAAAAAATTTAATTAGACTTAATTCAAATAACCCGATCAAATGATGACGTGTACCTCCTCTAACTAATAAGACCGTGAGAGTTAGTGTTGCTAAAAAGTCCATACAGTATTTCGAGTCGATCCTTAGCATCACCATCGTCCACAGGCACAGCCACTGGAGCCATTAATTTCTGAAAAATAATTATACTTTCGGCTACAGCGGTGCCCAGTCAGTAGCAGAAAAGTGGGTCATTATTCACCTTTCCAGACCAACTTTACCTAGGGATGAGCATGATACATGAATTGAATTTTGATTTGATTTGATCTTTTTAAATTTTTAAAATAAAAAATTTAAGATTGTGTCAGATCAATTTTTTTTTTGATATTATAAGTCTAGTTAGATTTAGGTCTAAGATAAAAAAAAATACTCTACTTGACAAAAATTACAAATTTTACATTATAAACTTATGAATAATTACAATAATATTATTCTTTATATTATTTTTTCAAGTAAATTTTTATTTTTATCGAATAAAAATAATATTTTTTTAGTAAATAGAGTCATATTTGAATTTTATCTATAAAAAAAGATTAAATTTGGATTGAGTGAAATGTGTTTTTTTTTTAAATGAATGGAAGTATAATTTTCAAGTCACTTAGCTGTAACCTTCTCTCTTCTGTCGCCCTCATTTTGTTCATTAAGAACCAACAGAGGAGAGTAAGCCAGTTTGGATTTAGGAAAAATGGTCGCTCCACTTTCCGTTTGGCCGTGGCAAAACTTGGGTCATTTCAAGGTACATCAAACTGTTGTTCTCTTTCTGTTTGCGTATATGTCTCAGTGTGTGTGTGTGTGTGTTTTGCTTCCACTTAATTCTTTTTCCTGTATCTATTTCCACAGTATACGCTTTACGGCCCTTTAGCTGCAAAGTTTTTGTACACATGGATCTATGAGGATACCCTTAAGGATCTCTGGTGTCTTCATATACTCCTCATATGTGCTCTCCGAGGATTCGTTTATCAGCTATGGAGCTCTTACAATAACATGCTCTTCTTAACTCGCAACCGTCGGATTAAGCAGCAGGGAGTTGATTTCAAGCAGATTGACAGCGAATGGGACTGGTATTATACATAAATACATACATACAGACATACAGACATACAGACATACAGACATACATACATACATATATCTATATTATCTTTGGTGAGAATGTGTATATTTTATGGCCTTGCAGGGACAATTTCATAATACTTCAAGCTCTGTTAGCTTCCATGGCTTGTTTGATGTTCCCATCCTTGAAAGCCCTTCCTGTGTTGAACTCAAAAGGGTTTTTTACTTTAATGTTACTGCATGTTACTGTTTCAGAGCCTTTGTATTATTGGGCACATAGATTATTCCATGGTACTTACCTTTTCAGCCATTATCATTCGCTTCACCATTCATCTCCAGTTCCCCACCCTTTTACAGGTAAAAAGTTCACAGACAACTGAAAAGTAACGTGTATCTCACTATCTTCCTTTAATTAACTAGTTTTTTGTTCATTGCAGCCGGACACGCAACGCCGTTAGAACACCTCGTGTTATGCGTCGTGATCGGAATTCCGATGACGGGGTCGATCCTGACGGGTTATGGATCGATAAGCATGGTTTATTCCTATGTCTTGGCTTTCGATTTCCTCAGATGTCTTGGACACTCCAACGCTGAAATTATTCCCCCCGGAATTTTCAACAAATTACCTTTCCTTAGATATTTCCTCTATACCCCAACGTAAGTAAATTGAGAAACAAGGACATTAATGGAGTTAGATCATTTCATAGATAGTTATGAATTAATCCTAAACGCTAATGGTAAAAAAAATTAGTTGGTTCCTTGAATGAGATGGTTTTAATGTTACATAACTAAGCATATCTGAAATTAAAATGGAAGCTTATAGTCCTTGTTGATATTTCTTAAACAGGGGGACCATTTCTTAGTTGGCACCATTAATTAGCAATCAATGTATGTTTTGTCAGGTATCATAGCCTCCACCACACAGAGATGGAGACCAATTTCTGTCTCTTCATGCCATTGTTCGATGCACTAGGCAATACATTTAACACCAACTCATGGCTACTACACAACCAGATTACTTCAGATTCAGGTAAAATTTACTTGTCAGTGCATTAAATATCAAATTTTGCGTATAATGACGGTTTGTATACGCGAATGTGACAGGAAAAAAAGGGAGGGTACCGGATTTCGTGTTCCTAGCACATGTGGTGGACATAACGGCAGCGATGCACGTCCCGTTCGCATTACGATCGTTTGCATCGACGCCGTTCTCAATTAGGTTGTTTCTGTTTCCGTTTTGGCCACTTACGTTTGTGATAATGCTAATAATGTGGATTTGGTCTAAGACCTTCCTCGTCAGTTTCTACAATCTTAGAGGCAGCTTGCATCAAACATGGTCCGTTCCTAGGTTCGGTTTTCAGGTTAATTTCGTTACTTACCTATTAACTTCATTTACTTTTGATACAATAATTATGTTATCCATATATCTCTTCATTAATTAATCATATATAAATTTTGCAGTATTTCTTACCATTTGCAACCACGGGCATCAACAAGCACATAGAGGAGGCCATTCTAAGGGCTGATAGGATGGGGGTCAAGGTCATTAGCCTCGCTGCATTGAATAAGGCCAGTGTATTTACACGCACAAATATAATATCTATATACACATTCTATCGTATTTGTTATGCTATTTAGTTGTTAAACATATCGTATTTAAATTTTTGTGTTTATGTATCATGTTTATGTTGTTTGTCAACAAACTTATGAATTTAAAGAATTTATATACGTACAACCTCTAAACTCGGTGTGCATGCATGCAGAATGAGGCTCTGAATGGAGGAGGAACACTGTTTGTGGACAAGCATCCGGAGCTCAAAGTGAGAGTGGTTCATGGCAATACCTTGACGGCTGCAGTGATTCTGAATGAATTTCGTAAGGACGTTAAAGAGGTGTTTCTAACGGGAGCCACTTCCAAGCTCGGTAGAGCAACCGCTCTCTACCTGTGTCGGAGAAGAGTCCGCGTCCTTGTAAGTCCACGATCGTAGTAACTTAATGTCTAACAATCGGTTCATACGATCATTTAAGATATTATCGATATGGTTGCATTGTTGGATACAAATTTAATTCTAAGTACATTGTTCAACTTGTTGAGTACTTATCAGTGCCTTAAATTGAGATGGTGTCCCTTCACCCAACTTTGCATGTGAAAAGATGATTATAAATTAAATGCTTATGGCTTAAACATATACATACATAAAATGTGCAGATGTTGACGTCATCGACCGAAAGATTTCAGAAAATACAAAAGGAGGCCCCTGCGGATTGCCAACAATACCTAGTGCAGGTGACCAAGTACCAAGCTGCTCAAAATTGTAAGGTATGAGAATGCATGCATGCATGAGTGTATGTATACATTATATATAATAGCTTAATCAATGAATGGTGATTGAAATTTGTTGTAATGAAATGATATAAACAGACGTGGATCGTGGGCAAGTGGATAACACCATGGGAACAAAACTGGGCTCCACCAGGGACCCATTTTCATCAATTTGTGGTCCCACCCATTATGGCCTTCAGAAGAGACTGCACCTACGGTGATCTGGCTGCCATGAGATTGCCACATGATGTTCAAGGCCTTGGATCTTGTGAGGTACGTGTGCTTGCATGCAACAATGCCATTGGTGTTGGTAGGACCGTAAACGAGTCGAGCCGAGTTTGAGTATTGTTGAGTTTAAATTAATTTGAAAACTCTAAAATTGAGTTCAATCTTGACTTAGAAACTCGAGAGCTTAAAGTTTTCAAGTTCGACTCGAACTCAAAAAATCATGAATTGAAGCTCATTAAAGATCGAAAAAAAATCTTAAACTTAACTAGATTAAAACCTCAAACTTAAATTCGAACCTAAACCTTAAATACATAAAAACTTTATACTGTATTTTTTTTAAAAACGACATAAATGTTAATATTATTAATAATTTATTTTAAAAAATAAAATCTCAATATATTATATTTTCGAGCAGGGATAGATGCGTGATTTTTTGTTGGGGGAAATAAAATTTCAGAGGGGGCAAAATAGGTTTTCAATAGAAAATACATAGAAAATTTTTAAATATATGGTAATTTTAAATTTTTGGGGGTCGGTCCATCTCTGTTTTTGAGCTGCTTGCGAGCTTTTCGAGTAGAGCATCAAGTAGTTCGTTTTGACTCGTTAAGAACTCGAGTTAAGTCTATTCTAGTCGAATATTTTTATCAAATTTTGATTGAATCGATCTTGAGTAACTCACGGTCTATCTATTCTCGTTTACGTCTTGTTTTATGTATTGGTATTTGATGCACGGGCAGTATACAATGGAGAGAGGAGTGGTGCACGCGTGCCATGCAGGAGGCGTAGTTCATCAGCTGGAAGGCTGGACTCACCACGAAGTTGGGGCAATCGACGTCGATAGAATCGACCTTGTCTGGGAAGCTGCTCTCAAGCATGGTTTAAGGCCCGTCTCATCTGTAAACCTCCATTGTAAAGACTCTCCGTGATCAACACAGGGTCTGAGAAGAAGAAGAAGATGATGATCAAGTGTAGACCATAAACCTATGCCATTGTATGTAATATTGTTTGTTTCTCTTAATTTATTATAAATAATCTTTATTTTTAAATAAAAAAATTACATTCTTTAGTAACATATATAATTTAAATGCTAAATTGAATCGGATGATATAAAATCTATAAAAAAATAAAAATGAAAAACGAAGGGGTAAATTATGTATTTAGTATTTAAACTATCAGTTTTGATATGTTTTAATACTTAAACTTTTAACTTTTCTAATATCGTATTTAACATTTAATTTTTATTTCATTTTAGTACTTCACAGGTAAAACTTAACGATACCACATTTTTCATGAATAAATTATATCATTCATCACACAATTATCTTCTTACTCCTATTTTGGTACTAAAATTTAAAAATTTTCAATTTAACTACTTAACTTTTAAATTGTTTTATTTTAATAACTATATTTTATTTTATTAATAATTTTTGTGACATGATTTTTTATTATTATTTTATTAATATATAATTAAAAATAATAAATAAATAAATTTGAAAGTTAGATTGATTGAATTAAGATTAATTTGAAAATTAAGTAATCAAATTAAGAAAATTTAATCTTTAATGATTAAAATAGGAGTGAGAATATAATTGGGTGATAAATGATGTAATTTTTCTATAAAAAAATGTCACGTGCAAATTACTCGTTAAATATTTAACGACGAGGTACTAAAACGAAACAAAAACTAAATGTTAAATATTCTTATAAAAAATAAAAATTTAAATATCAAAATAGATTATAATTGATTATTTAGATACTACACATGTAATTTACCCAAAACGAAAGAGGCAAAAGGGCAATACTAACCGCCATGTATTAACCAGTTCTTCTTGAAAAACCAAAAGATTCGAAAGACACGTAGCATCATTATTCAGAAACGCAACGGTGTACAACTCTAACCGCCATGCATTAACCAGTTCTTCTTGAAAAACCAAAACCGAAAACAGTTCTTCTTGAAAAACCCTTGCTCTGTTCCTTGCATCTGCAAAAACAGGAAAAAAATGGAGAAATCAAAAAGCCGGCCATTAGGAGTTCAAAAGAAGCAAATTACCAAGAAGAAGAAACTATTCAGCAATGTTTTGAACTACTTGAAGTCCGACTCTTACATGTTTGCTCCTCTCCTTTCTCCACTCTCTGGTACTACCCTTTCTCAACTCTACTTGCTCTTTCATTTTCTTTTCTTTTTCCCATTAATGGTTTCTTTCGGTTTTCAGGACCGAAATCGAAAGAACACATTAAAGAAAACAAGAAGATGAAGATGAAGATGGTTGGCGAGTACATGTACTCGCCATTGCTTTCTTCTAGTTCTAAGCCAACGGCTTCTCTCCCCTCAGGTATTTTTGCTTTTGTAGAGGCTAATTAATCACTTGGGATATTAATTTATGTTTTCTGCCTTTATTTTGTTCAGAACAAATCCAGTGCAGTAGGGAAGTCACGGCGGAGAAGCAGCCATGCAAAGACGCGCCTCCGGCGGCGCTAGGGCGTGGAGAAACGGTGAAGCACGTGGTTTACCACCAGCGCCGCCGTTGCTTGACACCCGTGTCTGCTGAAGGTGGCATTCTTGAACCACTTCGAATGCTTCATTGCTTGCTTTTCTCGTTCATCATTGTGTCTCGAATGCGTGTTTTGTTACTTGTTGCAGGAAAGGCAATGGCGGATATGCAGCTGAGGAAGCTTGCTGTCGAGTAAAATCTATATCAATAGATAATTGTAAAACATTAGTCTACAAAGATGGTATTTACATATATGTATTATTTTTTTTTGGGGTAAGATATTTCTATCTATTAGTGGCGGATCAAGAAATTTAAGAATGAGGTCTAAAATTTTAATTTTATTTTTTTAAAAATAATGTGTATACAAAAATTATAATTGTTTTCTTTTTTTCTTAACACATTAAGTTAAATTTAACTATATTTCTAAAATAATGAGATGCACTTGGCCCTTATGGGAGTGTAGTGCATCTGTCACTGCTATCTATAAAGAGAGAGGAATGACAACAGGTCAAGTTTTGGATCTACCCAACCCAACCCAAAAATAGTTATCCTCTACCTAAATCCGACCCAACTTAAAAAAATTATATCTTCGTTTCGACCGATCGTAAATATATCATCCAACTTATATATTCGATCCGATTGTTTAGAGTATAAATCCGACCTGACATGGTAAAAAATAAGGATTTAATTAAAAATAATAATTTTTAAGGAAATTATATTATTATACTCGGGTCGAATCGAAATTTTTTAACCTCCACCCGAATTCGATCCGACTTTACTTCTTAAAAAATCTGACACGATCAGATTGGGTTGGAGCTTGTCATATTCGAATAAAATTGTCATCCTATACATATAGGATACTTATACATTTAGGGTCCTGAATATATATGTTATTTCTATATTGAATTTAAATCTTAGTCAATATGTTAATGCTTAACTTAAACTATCATCAATTAAAAAAAACGAATTAAAAAAACAATTTTGAAACACAATGAATAATTATAACTTTAATAGTTGGGACATAAAAAAAACATATGATTAGAAGATTATTTTATAATTTTTAATATTCAAATGATTTAATAAAATAATAGATGGATTATGATTGATTATTTGTGTTGGAAGATCCATCTACTTGTTTAACGAACCTAAACAAAACATAAGATAAATTAGTCATAATAAATTTAAGTTAGAGTTATATTGTGTTTATCGTGATTATATAATAATAATTTGTGTATTTTAGATAATATCAATATCATCATATAACAGTCATAGTTTAAATCTTTATTAACGGTGAGGTACTAAAATGAAAAAAAAATTAAACATTAAATATAATTTAAAAGTTAAAAATTTAGATATTAAACAATTCAAAACTGATATTTTATTTATTAAATACCCAGTTTACCCTAACTAATTTAAGCATATGTTTGTCATTTTGTTTTTGTGTTAAGAAAGTGTCCGACGTGATAACCTACTGTAATTCATTTATTAAATACTATTATTGAAATTATAGAATTTTCTTATAGTGAAAATAAAATAATATTAAAAAATTAAGAACATCTGGTCAAAGCTAGCCTTTCGTTAAGACTTTAGATTGAAGAAAATGGGATTCGTGGAGCCGACACGTTAATAAATAAATAAATAAATAAATAAAACAATACTATATAAATCGAAGATATTTTTAATATTTAAAAGAAAAGGAAGGGTCTAATTAGTTCAAAGAAAGATGGAGGATCTTTTCGAATGAGAAATTTATTTTTATTTAATTAATTTAATAGAAGAAAATTATGTATATATACACACACATATATAGTCTGGTACAGCTCTTTGTCAGAAATCCGTGGTACAGAAGCAAAAAAGAAAATTGAAAAAAAAAAACAAAAGGGAAAAGAAAGAACAAAGGAGGAGGAGAAAGAAAAGGAGGAGACACGAACACTACGGAAACCAAAAGTAAAAGAAAAAAAGGGGGTAAAGATTCGTTCTATCATCTTCTCATATCCCAATTCCTATGATATTTGGGTAAGATTCAGATTTGTGAATTGTTCCAACAAATCCAGCTTATGATCCTTCATTTCTGCGTGTATTTGGAATTTAAATGCATTTCGAGTCCTATAACACATTTTTATAATATTTGTTATAATTGTTTCCGAGTTTCGGATTCGCTCTGATTTATTTTGTGCAAAAGTAGGAAAATATGTGCGATGATTTCCTTTGAGGTCTATGATTTTCGTCCGAAGTTAGATCAAAAGGTCCGGAAATTGTAGACGTGTGAAATTTTGTGTTTTCTGAGAAAAGCTCCTGGTATTGTTGTTTTGCAGGTTTTGTGTCTCCTCGAATTTGAAGAGAAATGACAATGGAATATGAGACTAACAATTGGATTTGGGATTGGTTGTATAGCTCTACGCATCTGTTTGGCGGTTTAATGGTAACAGCTGCCTTGCTTGGGTTTTCCACTTCTTATTTTGGTGGGATTGGAGTTTTTCCTTCTTACGGTTTGTCGAATTTTGGGATCTTTCTCAAGAAGAAACGTGAGAGGAAGCGCATACGGGTTTACATGGATGGATGCTTTGATCTCATGCATTATGGACATGCTAATGCTTTGAGGCAAGCTAAAGCTTTAGGGGATGAATTAGTTGTGGGTATTGTGAGTGACGAGGAGATTGTTACAAATAAAGGCCCTCCTGTTCTATCCATGGAAGAGAGGTATTCATGAGGCACTTCTTTTTTTTTCTTTTTTTTTCCTGGGTGTCTGTGGGGTTTTAGTTTGGTATTTTGATTTCACAATCTCTATTTCATTTGTGGTTTGTTCTATTTTCCTTTTATGTATGAAATTTCGATCATCATCAACTATGTTTAAGTTGTAATAACATTGAAAGCCATCAACTATGTTTAAGTTGTAATAACATAGAAAGCATTCTTAATATCTAGGTTTGTATTTGTCCAAAAAAATATCTTGTTTTGACGATTGAAATAAGTACAGCACAAGAGGCTATGGCGTCCATAATATGTGAGAAAATTAATTGAAAGAAAAAAGTAGGAAAATAATATGTAATGTATCCAGAGCTGAAGTGCAAAATGGAAGAAGCCAAAGCAATAATTACAGATTTCTTTGTAGAATCGAATCCTCACAACTTCATGTATGCTTGTTTCGTTAGTTCATGAACAAGATGGATTGTAGAGGCTAGTTAACTGGTGCGACAATTTTGTTTACAATACTGTATGTGTTAGAAGGTTTTATATCTTAGATATGTTATTTGCATCAAACTTATCAGGCTGCCCTGGTGCTGGTGTTACCTTTGATGGTTTGTTTGTTGTGCTGGCTCCTCTCTTTTAATTGATTTAGTTGATGGTTCTACGTATCTTAATTGAAGTTCTCTCCAGGCTGGCACTTGTCAGTGGATTGAAGTGGGTGGATCAAGTAATAGCAAATGCCCCCTATGCAATTACTGAGAAGTTCATGAACACTCTGTTCAATGAGCATAAGATTGACTACATAATACATGGTGATGATCCTTGCCTTCTCCCAGACGGAACTGATGCTTATGCCTTAGCAAAGAAAGCTGGCCACTACAAGCAGATTAAGCGCACTGAAGGTGTCTCCAGCACGGATATTGTAGGTACTGGAATTTCCTTGAGACATGCTTAACATTCCTTTGATTGGGGCTTGTCATTTACTAGCTTCTGTAAATTATGTGCTAAGTGTAACATTGTTTTTAATTATTTCACAACTTATATGTACGTAGGAAGAATACTTTCTTCTATGAAGGATAATAAAAGCTCTGAGGGAGATTCAGGCAAAAGACAACAATCACAGAGGAGTCAGCTTTCTCAATTTCTACCAACATCCCGGCGGATTGTGCAATTCTCAAATGGAAAGGTACTAATACTATTTTTTTTCACTTAGTTACCAGCCTCAAAAGAGTAAGTAATGAAAAAAATGACTGCCACTTGGAAAAGCTTGGATGATGTATGTTTCTAACACATGGCTTCACCCCCCCCCCCCCAAAAAAAAGACACCATGCACTAGGTGGAAGAAAAGGTAATTTAATTTTATATCGCTTTAAAATAGAAAAAAGTGAACTAATCCTATTTTCCTATATGTATAGTCTTTCACAGAAGGTAATTTACCTTCCTAATAGAAAAAGGATCATCCAATGCCTTGTGAAAAAAATATCATTTGGACGTCTTTTGTAGATTGAGAGGAGGAGAAACTAAGCTTTATATTAAGGATCTTACACGAGTTCCTTCAAGATTTGCCCTCAATAACAAATTATAATTTTAGGCAATGTGAACATGGAATAAAGGGAAGAAAGTGTAAAATCTTTAAGATCTTTCAACAAAAAGTGTTAGTGCGAAACACTTGTCTCTCACCAAGTTTGCTCGGTGAAAGCATACAAAGTCATATTTTCTTTTCTTTGGAAGATGATTTTATGACATTTTTCTTTGAATTAGGCCGACAAAATTCATCATTTTCTATAGTATTTGTCTTGACATAACCAAATTGACCTCCTGCCACTGTGACACATAATCCCCTCACCATCTATTTCATTAAAGATATGTTGCATAAATACAATCAAGTTTCTATGGAGGGGTAACCATCATGAACATAAAATCCAAATAACTTGCATGCTGGATGGTTAATAGATTATTATACATGCATATGTATGTATATATGTGTGCACATAAATCATTTGCATGAAAGATCATTTTTGGAGAGCTGGTCTAAAAAAATTTGTTGGCAAACTTGAAAATATGAATGTGGATCGATAGGCAACAGCCTGTTGCATCTGGTGGCATGCAAACATTTTTGTGCAAGTGCTAAGAGCTATTTTCTTATTTATCCTAGTTGAGGAAGAGTGACAAGGGTACGAGAGGCGGTGGTCCCGGCGGAGCAGATTCTGCTCTTCTTTCGCTTTCTTTCTCCCTTTATGCTTTTTTTTCTCCCTTAATGGTAGACTTTTGTGTAATGCCTGGGTCTCTGTCCCTGTCAATCTCATTCAGTTTTTCCTCAGGGTCCTGGACCAAATGCTCGTATTGTCTACATTGATGGGGCATTCGATCTCTTTCATGCAGGGCATGTGGAGGTATTATTCACTTGTTTATACTTACTCCTTGACTTATTTTCTTGTTGGTTATGTTATTATGATGGCATAAACATGCGACATATTGACAATTTGGTGATTGCTCTTCATCTCACCAAGTTTTCTTACTATATGTTGCTGTAAGATAGACCAATGCTCTTCTTCTTACCAAGTTTTGTTACTCTAGTATTAGAAAAATAGTACCTCATATTATCACAGATACCCATTTTCTTTGTTGAAGTGCATTGCGCTATCTTTTCTCTTAGTCCTAATCATATTATTTTAGAGGTTTTACTATAATTTGAGACCCTTAATTTATGCTAAATGGCTCTTGATTTTCTAGTAAGAGGAACTTTTCAACTCATTCCATTTTGTCCATGTCCGTAAGCCAACTTTTATGTCTACTCAGATCCTCAAGAAGGCAAGGCAGCTTGGAGACTTTTTGCTAGTTGGTATCCATGCTGACCATATTGTGAGGTACCGTATCCATGTCATGTTTTTTTTTCTTCTGTCTCTAGTTTATTACCATTTAAATATTGTTGGGACAATTGAGTTATAGGAAGGATGAAACTAATATTTGTTCTCCTTTCTTGCAAGAAATAATTTATGAATCTCCTTTCTTGCAGTGAGCAAAGGGGAATACCCTATCCGATTATGCATTTACTTGAGCGCACTCTTAGTGTAATAGCTTGTCGTTATGTCGATGAAGTAATCATTGGTGCACCGTGGGGAGTTACAAAGGACATGGTATGTAATTTTCTTCTCTTAAGTTTATAATCGGTAATATGCCTATGCAAAATTGTCCCCTAAGAAACCTTGATTGATTCTACTCCTAATTATTATGGTCCATTTTATTAATTTCTTTAGAAAAGAATGCATCTAACCTTATAAACCAAAATTTGAGCTGTGATAATTCTTTTGGTTCCAGGTAAATGCATCCTAGCTTTTAACCAAACCACTTTATTTGCCCAAGCATGTCCATTCATTAGATACTTGTACCATACCATTTGATTTGGTTTTCATCAGTATAGCAAATCGCATATATATATATATATATCATTGTTCATTTCTGTATTCTATCAAAAAAAAAATTGTTCATTTCTGTTATTCTGTAGTCTCTACAGCTATGCTATTGGCAACTTGTATTATTTGCCTACTACTGCTGCTATATTTTTCTCTTTTAAAATGAGAGAGGCATTTTCAAGCTACTTTATTTTGAACAGATTACAACATTCAACATTTCATTGGTAGTGCACGGGACAATTTCAGAGAGTAACACTTTGTTGCCTGTAGGTTTTCAGATTTAAGTTAACCTCTGATTTTTTTTCTATTTGTTATGACCCCTTATGTCTATCGATTTAAAATACCTTGCTTCCTACAGGGTGAAACCGATCCATATGCAGTTCCCAAAGGCACGGGAATTTTTCGGATACTTGAAAGCCCTAAAAGTATAACCACAAGTTCGGTAGCCCAAAGGATAGTTGCCAATCACGAGGCTTACTTGGTATGTACTTACACTGCATGGTTTTTGGTGTTCGCGTTTATCACTTTATTGTTAATAACTAGTAATGCAACTTGATTGGGAGTTGTTCACCTTGTTTCGGAATAACATTACTTGCTAGGTGCTTGCTTTCTGGATGTTATTAGCCGACTCCGGATATCGTTGAACATTTCGGCATGAGATATAAATCTGAATGAGGGTGTTTATAGACGTGCATCCTAACTTTTTGCGTTTATTACGCCATGATACATGATGTTTAACACTGAATCTGTTGGTATGCTTGATATTCCTCTAATTCCCGGTGCTCGCTTCAATGTAGAAACGCAACGCGAAGAAGACGCAGAGTGAAAAAAAATACTACGAAGAGAAAGCTTATGTTGTGGGAGACTAGGATATGGAGTACTATTGTTAGGTGGTAGCAAATTTGATTCAGCTCTTCATGCAGCCTTGACCATGTCGAATATGATGATAAGAAGACCCGACATTGGAAGACATCGTTACCAGAAACTTCCAAACAAAGTTTTTTTGATCTTTTATTATTTATTATTACCATCATCATTATTAATTTTGCATCTTTTTTTGGGTCTGAAATGTAGATGAATCTTATAATTATTTCTTTTTGAGTATCTTCTCAAGGATTAATAAGGGTGTATTTACTTAAAATTTTAACTTGTTATGTTCCGTTGCCAATCCTATACAATATTCACTTAATTTTTTTTTGAATTGATTTTATAAAATTTGAGTGAAATTGAATTATATATATTTGTTTGAATTATAAATTGAATTGAATTTTAATTATGCATAATTTAATGATATTTGTCATAACAATTTTTAGGTAAAATAATTAAATATTATTTAAAAAAATAATTATGACTTTATTTTGAAAAAAATTGGGCGATTTTGGATTAATTTGAATTAAATTGAATAGAGTCGCTATCGACCTTTGGATTAGGTAAGTCGAATAGTTAAAAAACGTTTTCTAAAACAATTTTAAGTAAAAATCATTTTTAAGACAAAAATGGCATGCGTTTACCAGAAATCGTATTAAAACGAGTTCGGGAGTCGGTTACGCGTGGAGAAGGATTAACACCCCACAGCGCCCAAAAACTGCTACTGGATCGCTTACATGTTGTCGTAAATGGCGGAACTTATAAATCGAATATGAAATTAAAATGTGATCCATTTATTGAACATTGATTAATTTGATTCGAATTAAATAAATAGAGAAAATTCTTTAACTCGAAAAGAAATATCAAAATTAGCAATCCTCCGTCGGAAAAGCTAACTCTAATATTTCGTATCATTATTAGAATATTCCCTTCTCATTGATATTAAAAAAAACATGAATCAAATATAAAATGAAAATCGATCTTTGCATAAAATAAATTGCTATTTAAAAACATACATTACATTGTTCAACATGAAATAAAATGAATTAATTGACTAAAATGAAATCCATTCATTTCAAAACCCATTTCGTTAGAACATCGTGTCGGATTGTACCACTTCGATCAAGTGATACTTTCCACGCCCGTTCTACAAATTCGCATTCTTGAAAATATTCGAGTAAATATGAAATAAAATTTAATTAATAAATAAGCATTTATAATAACCAACAAATACATACATAAATATGTAAGGTTAATTAACATAATATATATTCATGCATACATATTAGAGACATAAGTAATAATTTGCAAACATCATGATTTAGAATACAAAATAATAAAAACTGAACAAACCAAGTTAATATATGAATACAAAACAATTTAGCTTAATTTAAATCTGTAAAAAATACATATATAATTACAATGAAAATGGAACACAAACAATTCATACAATAATTTCAAGGATTAAAACTAACCGAAACATAACAACAAGGCCCTAATGGATGATAAACCTCAAACTTTAAACACTAAACCATAGATACTGACCAAAATAAATACAAGGCTAAACATAGAATTAAAAGCATGAATAGATTCATTTCCACCTATAACAGAGTTATGGACTAAAATGAAATGTAATATAAAGTAGTAGACATGCAAGAGCATTAATCCTAAAGTCAAAGGTAAGCAAACAGTGGCCAAAATGAAAAGAATAATGAGTTTCACACTCAAAAATCATATATCAACAAAAATTGGAATGATAACAAGGCAATGACTAAAATATAAATACTACAAAATGAGTGGCTCGAAATAAAATGATCCGGAATTGCGTTCAGTGATCAAAATGAAAGAATTATGAAATTTAAAACTCAAAACATGAAATTGAAACTTGCATTCGTGACTAAAATGGAACCTTTATAAACATCATTACCAGAGTCAAATATTAAAAACAATGGAATAACATATAAAATGGTGACTAAAATATAATATTTATGAATTTTAAAACCATACTCAAACAGTCACAGAAACATGTATAATGTACAAGATCAGTGACTATAATGAACGTGCAAGAAAAGTATTCTACATAAGTATGAACAAACTAAAGTACAATGATCCAAACTCAAATATAAACACAAGAGTATTTAAAGGCAATAAAGTACTAAATTATAAAAAAAATGAAATCAGAGCTCAAAATAAAAATAAAAAAACTTCATTGATAAAAGATAATCCAACATTACAAAATGCGGAGTGACCTAAACAGGGATTTACCCCAAATATGAAAACACGCTGGGTGAGTTTACAAAGCCACAGGGATTAAAAGTGTAGTTATACCCTTCTTCGGACGCGCAGGACGCCCTTGTTCAAACGACGCCGTTTCGCTTGTAGGTTATAAGACTCAATAAGGATTTTGAAACCCTATTTCTCATTTATTTTCCTCTCTCATCCGCTCTCATCTCTCCCTTTATACTCTCCCCTTTCCCTCTTGCTTCCTCGCCACCGAGGAGAACAGAGCACCAAGGGCTCCCTGGCCACCGTAGATCGGTGGCCACAGGGATTAAACAAACCCCCAAAGACCCCCAGTTCCTCACCCTCTGTTACCCATGGTTCAACCGAGCCTCATAAGGCTCGAAGAACACCGCAACCACCTCCTTGAGCCATGAAACATCCCCTCAACCTAAACTCAACAGTTAGGGACTCCAATAAAGACCCTAGAAAGGTAAAATCTCCTCCATTTATCTATTTTTTGTCTCGAATATATGTTTTTTTTTCTCTATTTTTTTATTTTTCCCCGAATGGGTTCCTCACCAAATGCTTCCTTTTCTCTTTTTTATTTTATTTTGATGCATGAGATGACTTGGTGATTGATGGATTTGAGCCTCTGTTTTAGCCCGATTTCATCGGGATATCCTTGTGATTTGGTGAGATTTTCCTTCTCTGTTTTTGTTTTTTTTACTGATGGGAGTAGAATAGGTCACTGTTTGATGGATGTTATCACTGTTAGTGCAGGAAAGGACGATGGCGGCGTCAGAAGCTATCAGGGTGAAGCTCAGCTAGAAGTCCAAACGGCGGCGACGGTTAGAGATTAGTTTAGGGTTTAAAACCCTAATTTGTTTTAGGGTTAGGGTTATCTACTGGATTGGGCTAGTGATTTGGGTTCCAGTGGGCTTTTGGTTTGGTCCTCGGGATTGGCCTGCTGGGCCTACAAAATTTGTAATAATAATATTAATAAAATAATAATAATAATAATAATAAATTAAAATAAAATTATATAGAAAAGACCCGGACAAAAATGGGTGTCTACAGCTGCCCCTCTTTGCACATTATTGTGTTAACAAGAATATGGCAAAGACGAAAAGACATCAAGTTTTTGTCTGGTTCTCTCCCTTTCAAACTTAGAAATTGAATAATGTTGGTTGTTGGGGATGACACTGCTCATACGTGATGAAGAGTTCGGGTCGACTAAGGGTGACACGGTTCCTACGTGATGAGGAAATCTGGTCGAGGGATGACATTGCTCATACGTGATGAAGAGTTATGGCCATCTTTAGGAAGGGTGATAACTCGGTTCCTACGTGATGAGGACGGCTGGTTATCTAGGCGTGACACGGCTCATACGCGATGAAGAGATCTGGTCGGGGGATGACACAGCTCATACGTGATGAGGACGGCTTGTTATCTATGGTTGACACGGCTCCTACGTGATGAGGAGATCTGGTCAGGAGATGACACGGCTCATACGTGATGAAGAGTTCTGGCCATCTTTAGGGATAATGATTTCAAAAGAAACCGACTCAAAGATGATGTTTCAAAAGAAACAGTCTCAAAGATTGTAAATTTTGTTTCCAAAGAAACAGACTCAAGGGTTTTTCTCAAAAGAAACAATCTCAAAGGTTTGTTTTTTCATTAAAAATTGTCTCAAGAGACAAAATTTGTTTTTAAAGAAATAGAATCACATATGATTTTGTTAAGAGACACAATCTCAAAGATTTTTCAAAAGGAACAGACTCAAAGATTTTTCTCAAGAAAAACTGTCTCAAGAGAGACAAAACTTTGTTTCAAAAGAAACAAACTCAAAAATTTTGGTTTCAAAAGAAATGACTCAAAGATTTTTTCACGAAATTGTCTTAAGAGAAACAAAACTTTGGTTCAAAAGAAACAACTCAAAGATTTTTTATTTCAAAAGAAACAACTCACATATTTTTATTTCAAAAGAGAAAACTCAAAGATAGGTTTTGTTTCAAGGGAAACAATCTCAAAGATGTTTGTTTAATAGAAATTGTCTTAAAAGAGACAAACCTTTGTTTTCATAAAAACAGATTTAAAGATTTTTCTTCAAAAGGAACTGTCTCAAAAGTGACAAAATTTTGTTTCCAAAGAAACATACTCAATGATTCTTTCAAAAGAAACTTTCTCAAAAGAGACAAAATTTTGTTATCAAAGAAACATACTCAAAGATTTTTCATTTTGTTATAAGTGAAACAAACTCAAAGATTTTTCAAGAAAATCTGTCTCAAGAGAGACAAAGTTTTGTTTCAAAAGAAATAAACTCAAAGATCATTTGTTTCAAAAGAAACGACTCAAAGATGATGTTTGTTTCTAGTGAAACAAATTCATAATTTGGAAAATTGTCTCAAGTGAGACAACATTTGTTTTTAGAGAAATTGTCTCAAACGACACAAAATTTATTTTTAGAGAAATTGTCTCAAGCGAGACAACGTTTGTTTTTGAGAAAACGATCTCAAGTGAGATCAACTTTGTTTAATATGAAAACAAATTTGAAATTTGTATTCTCAAAGGAAAAATGTCTCAAACGAGACGAAATTTGTTTTGAAAAGAATAACAATCTCAAGTGAGATTAATTTTTGTTTAAAGTGAATCAAATTCGAAATTTGTATATCAAAGGAAAAAAATGTCTCAAGCAAGACGAAGTTTGTTTTAAGAAAATACGATCTCAAATGAGATCAACTTTGTTTAATGTGAAACAAATTCAAATTTTGTATCTCAAAGGAAAAATGTCTCAAATGAGACGAAATTTGTTTTGAAAGAAATTGTCTCAAGCGAGACAAAATTTGTTTTTTAAAAAAATCTAAAAATTTGGAAAAATGTCTCATATTAGACTGAATTTTACTTCAATAAAAAACCTCAAAGGTGATAGATAGTCTTCTTGTTCCTGTATGTTGAGGAAATGTCTTGAT